TAAACCAAATATATAACAGCTCAGCTGTATAAAGTATATAACAATAAACTGGGCTGAAGAAATGAATAAAATTCTATGGTTCAAATTTAACCCCCCCCCCCCTAGACTCCACAGACAATGCATATTTGAATATAGTGTAGTTTAGCTACCATAGATCTTATACTTGACCTTTACCATGCTCTCCACCTAATACGGGGCTAGAACGTTAAACAAAATCCCCGAATTATCACGACCTTCCCCCACAGCCCACCGAATGTCTCCCCATCCCATCCGCCAACCGAATTACCCTCCCCCCTTCCGTCTTTTACAGTACACATCTTTCACATGCAGCCCACCCAATCATAAGTAGAACCCCCCCCCCCNTTAACGAATGGTCGTCATAAACGATCGTTAACGAAGGTTGTCGTTAACAATCGTTAAGAAGGGTCGTCGTTAACGATTGTTAAGAAGGGTCGTCGTTACGATCGTTAACGAAGGTCCGTTGTTAAAAATAGTTAACGAAGGGTCGTCTTTAACGATCGTTAACGAATAGACGAATTTTATAAAAACGACCCTTTTGAAAAACGAGCGTTTTGAAAAACGATCGTTTTTAAAACGACCATTTAAAAAAACGAACTTTTAAAAAAAAAACGATCGTCTAAAAACGATCTTTTTGTTTTCGATTATTCGTCGTCGTTTTCATAACGAAACGATCGTTTATCTGAAAAATGAAAACGTTAACAACCCTAACCGTATCCTCGCCCCTCTCCTCCAATATCACAATGAGGCGTATAACATAAAACGTCTGGGGAAGAATTATGGTGGATTATCTGATTATAGTAAAGTAAGTTTTGCAACTTAAAACATATAGGTCCAATTAAATATATTGCTTATCAGATTAAAGGGAATTCGTAGAATGTAGATATACAAAATTTAAATACACTTGTTAATTACATTCATTCACTCATAAAGGACTACCAAAAACAAGAAGACTAATTAAATTTTTACCAATTACAAAATTATATTTTAAATAAATTTTACATTCATAGTCTTATGTGTCCTCTAGTATTAATCAAATAAACATTGTAGGGTTGGTCTAATTCACCAATGGCTAACTTTTCATAATGGTCTCCCTGTACTTTTTCATAATGGTCTCCCTGTACTTTTTCATAATGGTCTTCCTGTACTTTTTCATAATGGTCTCCCTGTACTTTTTCATAAGGCTGTACTTTTTTATAAGGGTCTCCCTGTACTTTTTTATAAGGGTCTCCCTCCCTGTACTTTTTCGTAAGGGTATCCCTGTACTTTTTTATAATGGTCTCCCTGTACTTTTTCATAATGGTCTCCCTGAACTTTTTCGTAAGGGTATCCCTGTACTTTTTCATAAGGGTCTTCCTGTACTTTTTCATAAGGGTCTTCCTGTACTTTTTCATAAGGGCCTTACTGTACTATTTTATGATAAGTATATACAGGGTTACCCACGAAGGATGAGACTGGAGACACAACTACACGGAATTTATTCTAATATTTAAGAAACTTTGAAACTTAAAACTTTATTTACTTTCCCTAATCATTAAATAAACTATTAGAAGATTATTAGGACAGAAAACTTAATCTAACCTAGGGATCGTCATAATACACAAGTTTATGGTTGTCTGTACAGTCTCATTCTTTGTGGGTAACCCTGTAAAGCCAGAAATACAAATGTATACAATGTACATTGTATAAAGTTCACTTTTGAACCAGTGAACAATAATAATAGTCCGAGTAAAGGTTGAGTCACGCTTTAAATCAATTCTTCAAATGACATTTTCCTAAGTTAAGGGTATTTACGCAATTTTAACCAAATTGGGAGCAAAAACGCAGAACCAAGCCAACTTCCGTATTTCAATCCTGAAGGGGTGGGGGTGGGGTGGTCATAAAATTGCGAATTTTCAAAATATTATTGAAGAAAAGTATATATTTATGAAAAAAGGGGAAAAGGGAATAAGGTACATTTAACATTTATTTATCAATTTTTTAAAATCCTAAAATCCAATTTATTAGTAGAAACTTATAGGACTATCATATACAGTGGGACCCATTAAACTATGGAATAAGAGGACTATAAAGTGGGACCCATTAAACTATGGAATAAGAGAACTAAACAGTGGGACCCATTAAACTATGGAATAAGAGGACTATACAGTGGGACCCATTAAACTATGCAATAAGAGGACTATACAGTGGGATTCATTAAACTATGGAATAAGAGGACTAAACAGTGGGACCCATTAAACTATGGAATAAGAGGACTAAACAGCATTAAACTATGGAATAAGAGGACTAAACAGTGGGACCCATTAAACTATGGAATAAGAGGACTATACAGTGGGATTCATTAAGCTATGGAATAAGTGGACTATACAGTGGGATTCATTAAACTATGGAATAAAAGGACTATACAGTGGGATTCATTAAACTATGGAATAAGAGGACTATACAGTGGGATTCATTAAACTATGGAATAAGAGGACTATACAGTGGGATTCATTAAACTATGGAATAAAAGGACTAAACAGTGGGACCCATTAAACTATGGAATAAGAGGACTATATAGTGGGACCCATTAAACTATGGAATAAGAGGACTATTTAGTGGGATTCATTAAACTATGGAATAAGAGGACTATACAGTGGGACCCATTAAACTATGGAATAAGAAGACTGGTGGACCCATTAAACTATGGAATAAGAGGACTAAACAGTGGGACCCATTAAACTATGGAATAAAAGGACTAAACAATGGGACCCATTAAACTATGGAATAGGAGGACTATACAGTGGGACCCATTAAACTATGGAATAAGAGGACTAAACAGTGGGACCCATTAAACTATGGAGTAAGAGGACTGAACAGTTGGACCCATTAAACTATGGAATAAGAGGACTATACAGTGAGACCCATTAAACTATGGAATAAGAGGACTATAGAGTGGGACCAATAAAACTATCGAATAAGAGGACTATACAGTGGGACCCATTAAACTATGGAATAAAAGAACTTTTTAGTGGGACCCATTAAACTATGGAATAAAAGGACTTAACAGTGGTACCAATTAAACTATGGAATAGGAGGGCTATACAGTGGTACCCATTAAAACTATGGAATAAAAGAACTATACAGTAAGATCCATTAAACTATGGAATAAGAGCACTATACAGTGGGACCCATTAAACTATGGAATAAGAGGACTATACAGTGGGATTCATTAAACTATGGAATAAGAGGACTATACAATGGGACCCATTAAACTATGGAATAAGAAGACTGGGACCCATTAAACTATGGAATAAGAGGACTTAACAGTGGGACCCATTAAACTATGGAATAAGAGCACTATACAGTGGGACCCATTAAATTATGGAATAAAAGGACTATATAGTGGGACCCATTAAACTATGGAATAAGAGGACTATACAGTGGGATTCATTAAACTATGGAATAAGAGGACTATACAGTGGGACCCATTAAAGTATGGAATAAAAGGACTAAACAGTGGGACCCATTAAACTATGGAATAAGAGGACTATACAGTGGGACCCATTAAACTCTGGAATAAGAGGACTATACAGTGGGATTCATTAAACTATGGAATAAGAGGACTATACAGTGGGATTCATTAAACTATGGAATAGGAGTAGTATACAGTAGGATTCATTAAACTATGGAATAAGATGACTATACAGAGGGATTCATTTAACTATTGAATAAGAGGACTATACCGTGGGATTCATTAAACTATGGAAAAGGAAATCATCGAATAGGAACCTATGGAATAGGAAATTATGTAATAGGAAATTATGTAATAGGAAATTATTTAATAGGAATTTATGGAATAGGAAATTATGGAATAGGAAATTATGGAATAGGAAATTATGGAATAGGAAATTATGGAATAGGAAATTATGGAATAGGAAACTATGGAATAGGAAACTATGGAATTGGAAATTATGGAATTGGAAATAATGGAATAGGAAATTATGGAATGGGAAATTATAGAATAGGTAATTATGGAATAGGAAACTATGGAATTGGAAATAATGGAATAGGAAATTATGGAATGGAAACTATGGAATAGGAAATTATGGAATAAGAAATTATGGAATAGGAAATTATGGAATAGGAAATTATGGAATGGGAAATAATGGAATAGGAAATTATGGAATGGAAACTATGGAAAAGGAAATTATGGAATAGGAAATTATGGAATAGGAAATTATGGAATGGGAAATTATGGAATAGGAAACTATGGAATAGGAAACTATGGAATAGGAAGTTATGAAATAGGAAACTATCGAATAGAAATTATGGAATAGGAAATCATGGAATAGAAAACTTTGGAATAGGAAATTATGTAATAGGAAATTATGTAATTGGAATCTATGGAATAGGAAATTATGGAAAAGGGAATTATGGAATAAGAAATTATGGAATAGGAAATTATGGAATAGGAAACTATGGAATAGGAAACTCTATGGAATAGGAAATTATGGAATTGGAAATTATGGAATGGGAAACTGTGGAATAGGAAACTATGGAATAGGAAACTATGGAATAGCAAAATTTGGAATAGGAAATTATGGAATAGTAAATTATGGAATAGGAAATTATGGAATAGGAAATTACGGAATAGGAAATTATGGAATAGGAAATTATGGAATAGGAAGACTGTTAACAAAATATGATTTTAATTAGTCCAATAAAAATACAACAATGATTTAAAACCCCATTTCAGTTAATAAGCTTATTTTCTAGTTATTGTCAAAACTATTTGCTCTGAAACATCTATTGCATTTAAAATTACTTCATGTCTCCTTCTATTCCACGATTTTTAAAGTCTCACCTAGAAAACATACTTACATCAGATCAGCTTGATAATGATAGATACGTTGAAAAGAAATATTTAGAGAATTGTTACAAATGCAACCATTTACAAACATCAAAAAATTCAATCGGAAAAAGATTAAATAAGAAGTAAGTTTGCAACTTGTAAATAAGTGTATTTATTATAAATACACCTTACGTTAATTAACGACAGAAATAATTGATCATTTAATATTTAAGTTCACTGCAATTACAAGAATAAATACATTATTAATTAAAGATAACTCACGGTTATAAACTGAGGTAAAAACTAGTTGGGAAATGCGTCATTCATTCGACTTAACTGGAGATCCGAAGCGGCAACTTTTGATGCTTGGATTCATGATGTAAGTCTTTAAATCTGAGAATTTTGGGGAGTATTGTCTTCCAGTTCTAAGGAACTGTCATTTTAATTATAATTTGCTCCCCATTTTCTCGATTCCCAATGGTACCCTTGAAGCCTTGATCTGATCAATTGTGTGGAAGATAATGTTGTTTATTTTTGGCTAATAAGTTTTTACTTCTGTTAATTTCTCAATTGCTTCTGAAGCCTTACATATGACAATACTCAGTTTAAAGGGTACCACTGTGAATCGGTCATGTCGCTCTTTCCATGGAGGGCCATTTATAATGACGTTAACAGTCCTTTTAGGTAGGAAATGAATCCTGATCTTTAATTGATGGAAACTGAAAGTTGAAGATCTCATTGGTAAAATAAAGTGGATTTACAGGACGCATATGATAAATTAAAAATGTATTCAAATTAAGGAATTTCTGTCAAATTAAACTAAGCCATCGGTGGGAGGTGAACTGAATTCTGAACAGATTTAACATAGTTAGACATTGAGATAAAGTTTGTAGGATGAAAATAAAAGATAGAGATTTTTTTCCTTTTTGTGTCATTTTTTAATCATTCTTTCATTTTTCCTTACTGAGTTTACTAATCCCAAAAATTAATAAAAAGGAATGATATTAATTATTCATTAATACTTGTTTCATTAAGTTACATATTATCTACATACACTCCAGCTAAAAATTGAGTTCTTTCATAAACTTGTGAAGTCAATGTATTCTGTACACTCAAATTTCCCGGCACCTAATTTTCAGCGAGAAAAAAAGGATCATTATCGAAAATCAGACAAAGATTTAAAGAATACAGTTGTGAATAGGACATGCCATTCTTAAAGTTAAGGGTCCTCTGCTGTTCCTTTTTAAATTTAGTTCGAACTTCCTCTTTATTTAATTTCTAGTCAAAGAGATCCCCCGGGCAGCCAGTATTGCCACTAGAGACTCAGCACTTGTCTAAACAAAAATATCTTTTTAAATAAAACACTTTTTCTAGCTAATTTTCGTACCGAAACTTAGAATTCTAGAAACTCTAAATTATATCTTATTAATTGACACACAAAGTTATGGATTTGAGAGGAAAAAAAGTTTTTAATGTTTAAATTAATATTTTGCTACTTGGATCCGTATTCAAAGAGAGCTAAATTTCAAAATATTCGTTTTAGAATTATCTAATATATCAGTTTGACAGATAGAAAGATAGATAGATTTAGAACATCCGACTAAGACCAAATTACACGCAAAACTGCGTTATTTCTGGTGAAGATTGAATTTCTCCTCACACTTCAAAAACATTTTCTAGAGAAATGAACATTAGCAGCTATGAAAAAAATATTTTTTTTACTTGGAAATAAGTATTCAAAAGTTAAGACATTTTTCCGGAAGACATATGGGTGTGGCTAGGAAGCGCTACGGGTAAGCGCATTGCCGCGAGTCTGTATGTGAATTAGTTACGGGATGGAGGCCATATGGGTCTGGCTTGCCTTCCCCTATCATTGTACAGTATATTTACCTCTGAGTTAGATGAACTAGAAGAGGTTCCAATACAGGCAACTGGTAAATTCAGTTTACTCCGGCATTTTACCTACACATAAATTCAGCTTAAGACAAAGAGACAATATCATTTTCTGGAAATCTAAAAATGCTGGGTGCAACTGTGAGTACTTATAATGTAAAATAGGAAGACGACATTTCAACTATATTGCGTGAATTTGTTGTTAAAAAGGCAAAGATTTTACCATTAGCTTAAAAATTAAAACAGCAAGTTTTTTTGTATTTGACTGAACTACAGGGTGTCCCACGAAACATGAAAGTCGTCTTTGATCTTTACATTTATTTAAGATAATCAGTCGTCAACCTTCTTTAACATGTATGATACTTGAAATAATTACTACAAAATTTCCCTAGTTCTGGGATTTACAAAATGGGGTCTCTCTTTTCTGTGCTGTCAATATTACCAAAGATATTGAGAATTTCGTTCAAATTTAATTTTAAAAAAACCAAAAATGTCTAAATCGGAATGAAAATCTTCATATCTCCGGTATTATTGAGAGCACAAAAAATGCAGACCACATTTTAGAAATAACAAGACTGGGGACATTTTGCGACTATTAACTCTAGAATTTTACGACCAAAATTTGGATTACGAATAACTGCCATACATTATTTCAAAGGTCAAAGAAGACCTTCAAGACGTCTTGCTACTGTCATGTTTCGTGAAACACCCTGTATCTAAATTTGTAACTTGAGTCTAACATGCATCTTCCTATTCCACAGTTTAATAGATACCACTGTGCTAAAAACAAAGACATTAAAAATGTTGGTTAAAACCTCTGAGCTTTTTGTTGGCTGGTCCATATCTGCGAGTTGTTTACTAAATTCTTCCCATCTACAAAATGTTTAAATATAAAAAAAATATCTATATTAAGGGTGAACCGATTACATGAAACACATATCAAGTAGTAACACAAATACTACTGTGTTTTTAAATTTTAAGCATTATTAACTTTTTTTCGATAAAATCAAAACTGACCATCGCAAATGGCTATTTATGGCCGAAAAACCGGTTATACAAGTGATTTTAAATTTTTTTCTTCCAAATATGTCGATATTGGTATAAAAAGATCCGTCTTGCAAAGCCTAGTTCAACGCTGCAAACGGTTTGTAAAAATATTCAAAACATGCGATCCAGGAGCATAAAATCAGTCGTATTTCCTAGTTTTTCGGCTCCAACTTGGTGTATTTCTTGATTATTTTGTAAAGCGGGGTTTCCCGTCGTTGGAAAGACGAATTTTTTGATGCCCTATCGACATATTTTGAAAAAAAACACTCTTACTGCTATGGTTAATTTGGATTTTAGCGCAAAATGCCTTTTGTAAATGTGTCTTAGAATTAAAAAAATACATTAGTATTTACTACTTGACATTGATTCCTCTCAAATTTCTGAAAAATCTTTCACCCTTAACATATATAAATATATATATATATATATATATACTGTGTGTGTTTGTATCCAATACGTCAAAGCTGCTGAACCGATCGGGCCAAAATTTTGTGTGGGACCTCACATGACCTCAGGAAAGGTTTAAAATTTTGAAAATCCACGATTTTTTTCTAAAATCACCGAACTCTTTTTATTTTAATGTATAAAAAAAGAAAATGTTCAAAATTAAAATAGAAGATTGCATTTTCAACAGCTTAACAATCAAATAAAGAAATAATGTCATGTAGCTGGATAATGTCACTTCCCAAGTTTTGCCTTTTTGCACAAACACCCTGTGCAATTGAAATTGGACCTTAATAATTAGGATAAAAAACTTACATATTTTCCCTTCTCTAAAATTTACAAAAATTTACAAAAAAATAAAGTTTAAAAGAGTTAAATGCAAAATTCTATTTTTCCCAAAAATGCGTGAAAAAGGCCACGCTGCAAGTGCCAAAATAGATGAAGCAGGGAGCAAAAGTTTTGCATACACCTAGACAATGGCAAAATCTGAGTTTTTTTTTTGCTGAGTAATATGGATGACTAGCCAAGGCCTTCAAAAAACCGATTTTCCCCTTCAGTTTTCACTTTTTTTTGAGACACTCTGTGTCAAAATATGAAAAAAACGAATAGCACCAAATTGGATTGCATTTTTCAAGAGCTTTCCAACGGTATATAAAACAGCCATGTAGCTAAAAATAATTCCCCCCCCCCCCCCTTGGAGGGCATAGTGTCACGTATCGAAATCTAAAAAAATAAATTGAAAGCATGAATCTGAGACCGAATTTAATGAATTTGAACTGCCTACCGTCACCGGGTCAAATATAAATCATAGATTCAAATCCTTCTGAACTTTTATCTTTTAATTGGTGGTTCAAATTTGAACGGAGAGTATGCAGTAGAGACGCAGCTCAAATTCATTAAATTCGGTCTCCGATCACTGTAAATAGCATTGTAATTTGTAAATATGTTACCTATTTCTGACATCAGTTCCTCCCCAATAAAGTAGCTGGTTTCTAGCTAGACCATAGGATCTATAAATATGGAATATAAAGATAGGACAGGACAAATAGTCGGGGGGAGGATATGATTTTTAATACTCTAAGAGAGATTTTTTTCACCCTTTTTGATACTTTCACCTTTTCTTGTGAAGCGATAATATAATGTAAGAATAATTAACTGCAGAACAACCTATGCTTTTGAACAGTGTTAAAAATAATTAACAAAATAACTTAATATATGGGAAACGGATAACATTGTGATAGAGATAACTTACGCAATGTTTTCCATATATCCAACTACAGCGTGCTCCGATTCAAAGAAATCTTTGGCAGGATCTATTTTACTCACACTCCCGTCCTGATCCCTACACACATATATAAATCATGAAAGGTACTGTACTGCAGGGGTCCATATAATTCCATCTGATCAATCCCAAATGTTGATTGATTGATATTAGGGACAGAAATAAACCATGTTGTTACTGTAATCAATTGGACGTATATAATGTCAAGTTGTAGAAAAAAATCCATACTGCAGAATGTTTACTGCAAGGGAGTGTTTATTTTTCTGTATATCATAATTTATCTCTTATGTTAAATACGAATATTTATATTTTTTAACACCCCAAATGCAGTACACATTTCTGAAGTGTAGTACACGTACACAAAAACTTGTCAAAGTTCACAATGACATATAAAGTGTACTTTCATGCCCCTGGACTGTAGACATAATTTCAGGCAACCCTCTAATTATAAATAAAAAGCTTGGTGAAATCAAAAATAGAGGAGATATTCAATTTTTAAACTTTGAAAATTGATTAGTTTCAATTGTGGTTACCTATAAATGGGACTTGAAGATTTCTTGAAGAAAAAACATCTTATAGACATCTTTAAAGGGTACAAATTGTGAATCTGACATGCCCATTCTTTAATTGAAGGGTTATTTGAAGCTATAACGGCAGTCCATTTAGTTTATTAGGTTTAAACAATATATTGACTTTTCTAACAGACAAATGTATTGTGCTTAAACTCTCTTAATAGGTAACAGACAAATATTTTATAATAATAGTAAATAAATCAAAAAACCCAACCTACCTTCCGATAATTTCAAGTAAATAAATCAATAAACCCAACCTACCTTCCGATAACTTCAAGTAAATAAATTAATAAACCCAACCTACCTTCCGATGATTTCAAATCCTTTCTCAATAAGTCCGGAATACTTTTCCTGAAATTTCCAGTTTCTATTTTTCAAACAGTTTAAATAATTCACTTAATCCTAGATTAAAAATTAATCCGTGGGCCTCTCATCTCATCAATTTTTAATCCAAGAGAGACGGAATCTTGAAGCTAATTGAGCCCCTGTTAAATCCAATGTGTCCCCTCAACCCAATGAATATTGAGCCCCTGTTAAATCCAATGTGTCCGCTCAACCCAATGAATATGATAACTAGAAGTCGACCTTGTTTTATGATTTCATAAAATTGTCATAAATATTTTAGTTGTTGATATCCATTAGACATATTATTATTAATTTAGATTATTACAAGACTTAAACAAGAGATGATTACAGTAACCCCAGTTTAGAAAACAAAGTTTCGTTTTTGTTCAATCTCAAAAGATTCCCCCTCATTTATTCTTCTCTTTAAATATTTAATTTAAAAGATCAGAGTTTGAGGTTTTAAAGAACTAAAGTTCCCTGCACTAAAACAAAGAGTCACGAACTTATCAATTATTAATTTAAACACGAAATACTTAGTTTCCTTTTATTAATAAGAACTATTAAAAAATTTTATCTTATTAATTCCGTTTAAAAAAAATAATTAGTTCAACATTAATGCATTCCCGATCCCCAGGCATTCTGGAATTTTGAAAAATAAAAACATCAATTTTTATCATAATTAAAAAATTGTAAACATTTTTTTTCCAAAAAAACCCATTTAAAAAAAAACATGAAAAACCCGAAGAAACTGTATTCCTGGTGTAGAATAAACTTCTCCAGGTTTGGAACCAACAGAAGACGATCTATCTTGAACCTATCCACCAGAGCCTCAAATAAAAAAATGTTAAAAAATTAATTTCAAAAAAGGTATCTGATTTTCAGTAGAATATTTGCTCCACCATAAAAATATTCAATTATAAGCTAGCTAGGCGAAATCCAAGTTGTACAAGTGGTTCAACCAGTTTTTAAAAAAATGCTTTGACGCGTCTTCGGATTTAAGTCTGCGCAGGATTAAAATGAATGCACCGTTAAATTCTGAGGTTTCTTTTTACATTAATTTAATTTGATTAATAGGTAATACCCACTTATCATATTAAAAGCTTCCAAATATTCAAGGTATAATTTCAATGATAATGCTACTTAAATTGCTGCATCAAAATCAAATCAACTCAAATTAGACTTTCAGGGACGCCCATTGACCGAAAAAGCAATCAAAATTCGATTATTTGTTGAAAATATTAATTATAACAAATATAATTGTTGTATAGAAGATGGATTTGTATTTAAAATATAGAATCAACAAAGGATTTGAGTCTCTCAACAAATCTTCTAATCCCTCTATATCTTTGCAAACTGATGGTGTAAACCTTTGTTATTTGATGTCATAGTTTGAAATATCTAAGGTCTAGAAAATTGGGATTGGGTTGCAAAGAAATAAAAATTAGAAAATCTGAGTTTGTATCAAAGACTAAATTTCTTTTCTAGATGTAATTAACAGAGTCAATTTTGCCAATAATATCAACTCTTTATTATTATAATACTAGACTTTCAGGACACTTTTAGAAAAACATTCGAGGTGTTTAACCTTGCTCATTTCGTTTCCAATCTTATTGATTATGGTATTCCCGAATTTTTCTTTTTAAATTTGCGCATTTTCAAATGATTTTCGATTTTATTCCAGGCAACGTTTTTCATCTTAATACAAATATTAAACTTTTCCTGGGGTCATGTGAGTTGCCGCATAAAATTGAAGGTATACCTTAAGAATAACAGGATGATCTATATCTAAAAGTTCTAGAATGGTTGGGAAGTGAGGGTTGGACTGTACTCTAATACAACTGTAAATACTGTCCTCTTCTTCTTCATCCTCTAAACATAAAGTCGTCTTTATTTAAAGGTTGAGTGGTGTATGTAGTAATTACTGAGTTCAATTTAAACCTTACAAAGAAATTTAGATAGTGAATTCTAATGAATTTCAAGCACAACTTCCGTCTTTCCATTTCTGCACATCTTTTTGTAGTCTAAATTTTGTTATCGAAGACCATGTAAAGAAAAGTATTTATTGAAAAGGAAATATTTTCGAATCCCAGTGATGTAAAATGAAAAAAATGGTGTTTTTTATACATCTTGGTTGATTTTGCACTCTGCTTTCCGCGGAATAATGTGCTATACAGTGGTTGGCGATTATATCAATACAATATAGACAGATATTTTTCAAAAATCACGTTTTCAAGAAAACAAAGAGGATCTGTTGAAGATTCTACAACTTTTCTTTGTTTAAATGTTTGAGTGTTTCTACTGTTTGAAAGCTTGGTAGAACTCAAATTGATATATACGATGAAGATTATAAAATAACGGAACTAAAAAACCCAGAAAGTAAAATTGCTTATTTATTAATTATAACAGAACAAAAATCTTTAAATTTACCTTCTTCAAGCTTTTGCTTCTTGGAGTCTCCCTCCTCTTCCTCCAGTTTCCTTTTTAGAGAAACATCCTTATTCTTCTCCGGTATATGGTTAGAGAAGAGATATGAGGTTGTAGAGACTATACTGGAGGATGTAGTTGATGGATTCGAGGTTAATGTTGTTGAGGCTTGGATCTGTAAAGTTCCCTTGAGAGCTGAGGCTCGCCTAGCCTCAGCTTCGGAGCAATAGACCTCGGCCTGGAACAGGACGAGTAAAAAGTAAAAAACCGGTAAACCTTTAGTGAGTCGGGAGAGAGATAAGCTTTTTAACCCTTTCGTTCTTTCAAAAATGTCCAACTCGTATAACCCTAAGCTTTACTAGTGACAACTGGGTTTAAAAATCAATACTACTGATTCAAATGCTTTTTCAGAACTATAGCTTGACAAGTTTTCTTTTATTACATCATGCAAAAGTTTACTCTGACCAAAGATATCAATCAAAACTATTTGTAAAATCCTTTTGAAAAATCGGGCTGAAAAACTGTTTTGGTTAATACCTTTGATCTGAGAAAAAAAGTATAATTAAATAAAAACAAACTTGTTGAAAAATCAATTTTCAAGTTAATAATAACTAACATTCTTGTAGAGCACTTTTAACTTCCCAAATGTGCAATTTCCCATATGGCAACTTCCTAAATGTGCAATTTCCCATATGGCAACTTCCTAAATGTGCAATTTTCCAAGCGGCAACTTCCCAAGTCTGTCCTAGCCAGCCCACCAACTTGTTCTAGCCGCGGCGCTCGGCCAAATAGCCGAACCTAGCCGCAGCACTCGGCCCCCATTGCAGTCTGCGGCGCCTCATTGGGAAGTTTCGCTTGGGAAATTGCACATTTGGGAAGTTGCCACTTCGGAAATTGTCACTTAACAAGTAGCCCTTGGGAAAATGCCTGAGGGAAAGTACCTAACACCTCTAAATGTAATACCTCCTGTTGAGATTCCAACGCAGGATTGAAATATCTGAAAACCCAGTTCTGCCCAGTTGCCATTGCTCTCATCACAAATATTTGCATTGCCTGAAAATCATAAGATTTAAATTCACTAGAAGGAACTGACGCAATTTCATGTGACCCTATATTGATAGAATGTCATGTCTGATTCATTAAGGTACCCTTTCAACCAGTGCTTAGGATCCATTCAATTTTGATGCGGATCCGGATCCGGATCCTGGATCCGGATCCAGGTCATTTCTTTAAGATTTACTGAAATTTTTTAACAAGACAAAATTTTCCAATTTTTTGTTTTATTTTTTTCGCTTATTTTTATCCTACAACTTGATGAACCATTCAGAAATGAGGAAATTTTCATAATCTTTTTTTTCAAAAGTTCAGACTTGGGGTTTTGGAGTAAAAAAGATTTTTTTTGCAGTTTTTGGTTGATATTTTACCCCTTGGATCCGGATCCCTGGATCCGCATATTTTTGCGGATCCGGATCCAGGAAGCCAAAATCTTGCGGATCCAACGGATCCGGATCCTTAGCACTGCTTTCAACTTTGGTCTGAGTATGAAAAGAATTAAGATAATCTTGTTTTTCTACTTAAAAGTACGTCAAAGAGAGAATATTTATTTTACTTGATTATCTCTTGCTGACTTGTCCACGATAATACTGGTTAAATACTTGTTCAGTATCTCACTTGCAACCCTCACTACCAGGGGATCATCTACCTAAAGGGATTGTTCACTTTTCAGCAAGCATTACTTCTTATGGTTTGTATTTCAAAATAAAAGCCAATTTAAACTTTTTTTTTAAATATTCATATTAAACAATTACATCAGAAGTTAAAAGCATACTCTTAATCTTTAATGATCTTATTTTTTAATCTATTTTGATATACCATTGACGAAAAAAAAGTGTCCATGGAAATTTCTGCTAATTATTTTATACTATTTTCCAGAAACACCTTCTCGACATTTAAATATTTAAATACGTTGTCAGTAATATTACCTTTATTTTAATAAAGAGTGAGACGGGTCCAACAGATTTAATCCCAGTTCCTGCTGGGGATCCAAGCTCAAGCAGTTCAGTTACATAGCGGTATGTGCTCTTACAGTACAGTTGGGATTAGGTTTATAGTATATAGGTAGTAGGTACTCTTACAGTACAGTTGGGATTAGGTTTATAGTATATAGGTAGTAGGTACTCTTACAGTACAGTTGGGATTAGGTTTATAGTATAAAGGTAGTAGGTACTCTTACAGTACAGTTGGGATTAGGTTTATAGTATAGGTAGTAGGTACTCTTACAGTACAGTTGGGATTAGGTTTATAGTATATAGGTAGTAGGTACTCTTACAGTACAGTTGGGATTAGGTTTATAGTATATAGGTAGTAGGTACTCTTACAGTACAGTTGGGATTAGGTATAAAGTAAATAGGTACTCTTACAGTACAGATGGGATTAGGTTTAGAGTATATAGGTACTCGTACAGTACAGTTGGGATTATGTTTATAGTATATATGTACACTTACAGTACGTTTGGGATTAGGTTTATAGTATATCAAATCAAATCAAATCAAATCAAATCATTAGTTGCAGAGTGTATAGGTGTTCTTAGAGTACAGTTGAATTAGTTGAGATTAATGGATATACAGAAGGTCCTTTATCAACCTGGTATCTAATATGATTTGGGACACCATGTAGTAAATCTTGGTAAGAATTTGTATGGAGATGAAGTCTCTGGTATCATAATGTACACAGGTCTAAATGTAGCATTTATGAGGCAACTTGAGACAAATCAGTCTCGGGGGTTCATAAGGTGTGACCAGACGTGACATACAAACAAATTAACAGACAAAGATCACTAATCTATAAATATATAGATAAGGCTAGTCCCAACAGGACCTGAGGAAAGATTGGGACAAGGCCAATTTCCAGCTGCCTAAACAAAAACATTTCAGATAAAGGATAAGGATAAATTTTTTTGGTGAACAACCTTTTCATAAGGCATTTGTACGAACGAATATCATTTATGCTCAAATCCCTTTTACAATAGAGAACAATAATAAAATGTTTTAAAAGATAGAACAAAAGCAGGCCCGTAACCAGGAATTTTCCAGGGGGGGGGGGTGCAAATAAGCGCGCCGCGCAGGATAAATTTTTTAAAGTTTTTTTTTTAAAAGCAATACTTGGTTTGTTTTTACGGTGGTATATGGTTTTCTTTAATACATTGTCAATATAGGCTATAATGACTAACCTTTTTAACAAGTGTATTTGAGCTTTTAAGGGTTACATTTTAGTGTCTGAAACTTGACTTGACAGAGTGCACCTACACACCCACTTTTAATGAGTAACACACAATAAGATTATAATTTGGTTTCGGAAGGGAATCAACTCTTGCTTGAGCTATATTATTGGTAACTAGATTTTAGAAAATTATGAAAAACAATTTCTTTTATATGGGGCTGGGGGGGGGGTGCAAATTCGTCATTGCACCCCCCTTTCAGAAGAAAGGGGGGTGCACCTGCACCCTTGCACCCCCCCCCCCTGGTTACGGGCCTGATTACAAAAGGATTTCTCAATCATCCTGGAACAGAAAAAGGTTTAAAACCACTTTAAAATTGGAAATTAGGTTTACAGCAAAGTGAATAAATTCTAAAGTGGAACAGACTAAAACAACGACGACAGGTTGGGCCATAAGGTTTTATTTGGTTTGGAATAATTGCATGAAAAGATTTCATGTGAAAAGTAAAGACTAGAACAAATAGACTAAAGACCCATGTACATGTCGCCTTCAGTTAGAACTTCGAAATTTTCATAATCAAAAATCAAAAATTTTGTAAGTTGGTATGTAGTTTATATGAAAATACTACAGACCAATTTATATATATATATATATATATATATATCATTTTTAAATACTTGGGACATAAAATCTCGTCATTCAACTATGAGTTTGGCCCACTTTAGTATTTAATCACTTTGGGTTTACAGTCCCTTTAATAAAACAGCATACCTGACACATTTTTCAATTTGAATCGATATTTTCAGATAGTTTTCTTCCGGTACTTCTTCTTCTTTCTCTAATTCCTCTATCAATCGTTCAATTCTATAAAAATAAAAAGGTATTTGAATATATTTTTTAAATATTAGAATCTGAAATAGCAAAAACTTAAAGGGATTCATTTTCATTTATCTATATCTCTATCATTTTTGAAACAGTCAGCACAGCACTTCTTGGTTTGGGAGAAAATCAATTTTTGATGTGTGCATTCTGTAAAAGAGTAGAGAATAGAAAGAAGAGTAGAGGATAGAAAGAAACAGTCAAACTTTGTAAGAAACGATTTTAGTTAAACTGCACAATCACATATCTGAGATATTCTTTACTTGACCACTAAAAAATATACACTTTTCAGACCCCCTAAAGAGACTGTAAGCGTAATTTCAAGTGACCCTTCTTGCAAAGATGATAATTCCCGATTCACAACAGTACCCTTGAAACCATAATCTGGTCAATAATGAAAGATATTCTCGATGATCTAAAACTAAACCGTTTTATTTCTGACAATTACGTTCTATTTTTCTATTGTAGAAATGCACATTTTCTTTTATGAAGACCACAGTTGAAAATAACCAGTTTACAAAATCTTAAACATTGATATCATATCTATACTTCTTCAGACAATGCTGTTAAGGATATTGTTGTAAATCTGGAATTGTCATTTATGAATGGAGTTTTTATGAATTTGTTTTTAATCTTCATGACGGAAACAATGTCAAGAACTGACGAGGGTCAGCCCAGACCGAAGTATATTTTCGATAAATGTGGAACTAACATCTACTTTTTTTCTTCTCAACAGAGGTTTGGTCCATCACCATCACCATCACCGAATTTTAAATCTTATAATTACGCTTACAGCCTACTTTGACCTCTAAAACCAGAAAACAATGGAATAGGAAAACGACATTATAACAATATTTAAGAATATTTTATGCTGTTAAAAAGAAAATAGTTTTACTAGACACTTATCAAATCACTAATTTAGTGTAATCGGTCTGTTTATACTATACAGTTGCTGTTTTTATGTTCAGAGGACTTTTTAAACTTATAAACTTGATTCTAAAAGTCGTCTTTCTTTTTCAGAGTTTTCTGGTTATCACTGAAAATAATTTGTATAGTGCTAACCTGTAAATAGAAACATCAACAAGAAATTGATCAGATTGAGACTTCTTTAGCTTCTCTATTATCTGCCTTTTCCTGAAGAAAATACTTTTAAGTTTTGTATAATTTTCTAGTTTGAACTCAAGTTTCTTGGTTTGACCTTTTTTCCTTGGTTTGTCAAACTTTTCCGAGGTTTGTCAAACTTTTTCACTAATTATTTAAAATATCTATTTATTTACCTGATTTTGAAATATTTGCCCCAAATCTGATTCTTATTAAACCAGTTCCTCCAATCTAAAAATAAATTTAATTTAATTGTATTAAAACAATTATGACAAGGGGAAAAAATGCTACGCGGCATTATTTACTAAAAGAAAGAGTGAAGGCGCGGAAGTTTGAGTTAAAAATTTATACACAAATTGTAGATTTTAAGAATTACAATAAAAGATTTTTTACAAATATCATTTTGACATTTCGTACTTGAATATGTAACCAATATCCCTACCTTGACACACTGCCCGGCAGTCCAGTATGGTTGAGCTAATATCCTTACCTAGAAACACTGCCCGGCAGGCTAGTATGGTTGAGCTAACATCCCTACCTTGAAACACTACCCGGCAGGCCAGTATGGTTGAGCTAATATCCCTACCTAGAAACAGCGCCCGGCAGGCCAGTATGGTTGAGCTAATATCCCTACCTAGACACACTGCCCGGCAGGCTAGTATGGTTGAGCTAATATCCCTACCTTGAAACACTACCCGGCAGGCCAGTATGGTTGAGCTAATATCCCTACCTAGACACAGCGCCCGGCAGGCCAGTATGGTTGAGCTAATATCCCTACCTTGACACACTGCCCGGCAGGCCAGTATGGTTGAGCTAATATCCCTACCTTGACACACTGCCCGGCAGGCCAGTATGGTTGAGCTAATATCCTTACCTTGACACACTACCCGGCAGGCCAGTATGGTTGCGCTAGAACTGGTTCCCAGCATCATATTTGTAAATATGTTAGGATGTGTCCAAGGAAACGTACTGAAGTCTATATCTGCCATCTTATCTGAAAAATCAAAAATGATTATTTACCAAATATTTTTGTTAAATCTTTTAGATAAAGTTATATATGAGAGTTGATGCTTCATTTTGAAGTAGAATACAGAGCAGTAATGGAACCAACGAGGTAGCTCGATCAAGGTAGGACAGGGGCCTCAGTTTTAAATGTTTTAGGTAGGATTGGATTGATAAAATTGATTTTGATAATAAAAATAATCACAATAATCACAATAACAAATTTTCATCATTTATCTGAACACTTCCCTCTCAATGGTATCATTTCTTTTACAAAAATTAAAATCATTAATATAATTAGAGTTATCTTTAACTAAAGGAATTGAGTCGTTGGCAAGGACTCAAATTTTCTGATCCTCATATCTTTGTAAGCAAGTTGGAGTTTATCTTTGATATTACAAAATTTAAATATTTGATCTAACAGAATTCAAAATTTGAAAAATCTAAGGTCTAAGACATTGGGTTGCAAAGATGTGGTGATTAGAATATCAGAGTTTGTGGCAAAGACTCAATTTCTTTGATTGAAACCCATCTATATATAGAGACTATATTATAATCGATAATGTGTGTTATCCCTATTATCTTTTATTACCATTTCATAATATGGTATTTATCTCTGATTTAAAATCCAGCATCGTGTGTAATCTCTACTTATCTCGATATTAAAACCCAGCACAGTGTATACTGTATAATCTCTACTTATCTATTAATTAAAATCCAGCACCGTGTGTAATCTCTACTTATCTAAGAATTAAAATCCAGCACCGTGTGTAATCTCTACTTATCTCGATATTAAAATTCAGCAACGTGTACAATCTCCTCTTATCTATGAATTTAAAACCAGCAATGTGTATAATCTCTACTTATCTCTGAATTAAAACCCAAACACGAGTGTAATTTCTGCTTGTCTCTGAATTAAAACCCAACAACACGTGTGATCTTTACTTATCTTTGATTTAAAAACCAGCAACGTGTATAATCTCTACTTGTCTCTGATTTAAAAACCAGAACGTGTGTAATCCCTACTTGTCTCTGATTTAAAAACCAGCATCGTGTGTAATCTCTGTTCATCTCTGATTTAAGAACTAGCACCGATTACAATCTCTATTTATCTTCATGGCGGACCCACCTCTAAAGTGTGTTAAGGCGTTTTGTTACTTTCTATTTCTTCTGCATATTCTGTAGCAACAGGTTTTCAAACAGATACACATAAGTCATAATCCAGGGGTAACTAAGGGTTGTAAGGGTGTGCGTGGGAGGGGGGGGAGGGGGAAGAAAGTGTAGAAATATGTTAATTATGTTCACACATACATAATTTATTAACACTTTCAATACGGAAGTGTGAATATGATTGAAAAGTTTACATAGTTAAAAAAGGTATCAATATTTTTTCAAAATTGGGGTTTGTTGCCAAATGCTCTAGTACGCTCCTGTTAAATGAGGTAACGCTGTCGGTGAAATTATCAAATTAAAAAGTGGTGGTGGTGGTGGTGGGGGGGTATTGGTTAGATTAGGGGGGGGGCCTTGGTTATCCCACCAGGATGTATGGAGCGACACACAGCGCCGGCTGGGAAAGGATAAAAAGGAGACTCAACTTTACATCTATCTATATACTGTCTGTTTGTAACTTTGTTGCCTGGAAAATTTTCAGATTTTTGTAAAATTGTGAAAAATCCACAAAAAATAGTAAATTCGCGAACTTTTTTATTCTTGTTTCATCAAAGATAAAATGCTGAAGACTAAACAATAATTATAGGTTGAAATATATAGCCTAATTGCTTTCCAACAACTTTAATAACGAGTCAGATTGATTGATTGATTGATTCCTACTGTACCATGTACATGTGTACATTTGAAAAACTATTAAAATCTCTGTACAGTAACATCTCTTCTATTCGTACATTTTACTTTCTTGAACTACTGTACAGTGAAGTAGATACAACTGCAGTACACTACAAAACGTCAACCAAAATGCAAAAATACAACAATAAAATTTTAGGTTGGAATGATGTGTCCTGGCATAACAAAAACATATTTTCACCAAACATAGGAATAATATTTATTTGATATCTACATTTTAAATTAATTTTTTTTATTTTTCATAATAATTGTCAAAAATCTGCAATTATTTGGTTTATTTTTTTTAAAAAGTTTTATAAATATTGTCTATATTGGTTCGAAATTTTAAGAATAAAACCATATATATTATAAAAAATTATCTAAGTTAGTAACTTAATATTGGAGCATGAATTTATAATGCAAAATAACATGCTACGCTAATACTGTTTTTTAAACAAATAAAGAATTTCAAAGTTATTTTTCCCCTTATTTTTTTTATAATATCTTATGTTTTGAAAGCGGTGATATTTGTGTTTTGAAAGCGGAAAGTAATTTCGAACAGGTGTTGGGTGTTAATTATCATTTTTTGATCCAGATCCTAAGCATATGCATTGCTCAGATATTTGAAGATGTTGTAATTTTATTCTTTAAATTAAGACTTGTTTTCTGTAAAACTCAATATAAAGTTCAAAATTAGAGATAGTTAGAATGGTTTATCTTGTTTATAAAATTAAAATAGATTTATTGAAACAGAAAGTTTGGCTGCTGAAGGTGTTCTTCTAGATCAATATTATGTATTGCCAACATGTACACCCTCCAGGTAAAATTCAGATTAAGGTTTTTTATCAGATTTTATCAGGTTTTTTATCAAGAGAGGGAAATAACAAAAATTGGGGGGAAAATGAGACTTAAAGGGACTGTACGCGTAATTTCAAGTGATCGTCCATTTATAGAGTGGCATGTCCGATTCACAACGATACCCTTAAAACCTTTGTTTGCTCAAGGATTTAATAAATATTCTTATTTATATAGCAGATAAAAAAGTGCCGCGCGAGTGTACACTAGTAAAGAGTGTACAGTGTACACTGTAACCTCTAGTCTCCCGACACTCAATCTTTAGCTATACAAATGAAGGACAAAGGTTTAAAGGGTACTGCTGTGAATAGGACAATGGACATGCCTTCCTGTAAATGGACGGTCACTTGAAATTACACTTACAGTCCCTACAAAGATAGCTAATTACTATTTTCCGAAAAATTCATCTAAATCTCTCTATTTCTAAAAAATTGACAGAAGGTAAGCACATTTCCGAGGAAAAAAATATTTATCCTATTATTCAATTAAATAAAGGAAAATAAACAAATACAACCGTTTACCCTTCTGCAATTTTTTTTTTTTCATGTTTAGGGTGGCCATGATGACAGGAAAATATCCTTACAGGTGATATTTGTACCAAAATTTACTATCAACAATTTGTTGAATATTAAAATATTTTTGTCATTTTGATAAAAAAGTAATACCCACCATTAAGCAGAACCGAGATTTTAATCCATATTCTCTAGTATGGGAAGACAGCACATGTATATAAAACCTTTAATGCCAGCTGGACTTCCTGTTAATGTCAAGATAATGCCACAGTATTTTAAAGAGGTAAAAACACACAGCTTAAATATGTGAATCCAGTCATTTATAAATAAAATGCTAAACAAAATATTTTTCGGAAGTAATTTTTTGATATTAGTAAAAATTAGATATGTTTTACTGTAAACCAACCTTTCACCATTCTTACTTTTTTTCTAGTTACTCATGTTAAGACCTTTGCCCACCAAAATGATTCATAATTATTTGTCAGGCTGGATATGTAACTCATGCCATTGGTAAATGGCATTTAGGATACTGTCATCAAGTAAGCCATTTCTCTTCAAAATTTTAATTATCTCCAATGATAATAAGCTTAAACTTTAACACTATTTAGAACTATACTCCAACCAACAGAGGATTTGATTCATTCTATGGATTCTACTTGGGATCTCAGGTACAAAAAACTGTCAGATGTTAAAAAAAAAGATGACTGTTTATAGGTCTGAGCTGGGAATCATTGTGTTGGATGCACATAATCTCTTGATCTTGATATCCCTTGAAAGCACTTTTAATTTGAGGATCAATGTATGATCTCTTCATTTCGGCTTTTCCTCCATGGTATGATTACCATGCGGAATATCAAATAAAGATTAAATTAATCTGCAAATCAAAAAAGATTGAGATTGATGCTTGACCTCAATATTATCCACAAGACCAGAGTTACAAACTCTGCCTATATTATAACTAACATCACTTCAAGTCAATAATGTTAGAGTTTTATGGCATTATATGATGACCTGAAAACCAATTATATTTTAGGACTATTATTTGCACAACAAGATTGAAAATATGGATACTGGATATGACTTTAGGTTCAATGAAGACATTCTTAGAGGTAGTTTAAATAACAACAGATAAAGTTTTATTCTCAGAATTCTGAACAAATATTATGCAGGACCAGAAGTTGAAGGAAAATACTCAACCGACTTGTTTGTAAACAGAGCAAATACACTAATTGAAGAACACAAGGATGGAGACAAACCATGGTTCACATATCTGTCATTTCAAAGCGTACATGATCCCATTCAGGTGTTTAAATTTAAATATGAATCAATTTAATTTGTAAAAAAAGTCAAAGGTTAGCTGGATAAACTACATAATGCAACAATGCAGCAATCAGTAAATTCTATTACATCTAATGTTTATGTAGAGACTCCTTCTTCATATACTCCAATTAATTCATGATTAATGCCTCAACTTTCACCTTATTTAAATTTTTTCCTAAATTAATTTTTTTGCTAATTAAATTTCCTTTCTTCATTTTTTCTAGGTTCCCCGTGAATACACAAGCAATCTGTGTAGGTACAAAGACCAGACTAGATTCTACTACAGTGCTATGGTGCATGCACTGGATAGTGCAGTGGGCAAGGTATTTGGAATTATGACATATTCTTTATTTTTTTTTGGTAAAATTTCAATAATATCCTCATTATCTTTTTAAATAATGTTTTGTTTAAAATGAAGGTGATAGACGGACTAAAAAAATCTGGGCAGTATGAGAACACAATAATAGTGTTTACCACTGACAATGGTGGAGCAGTAAACGCTGGTGGTAATAATGCACCCCTCAGAGGAACCAAGGGGACCCTCTATGAAGGGGGAACAAGAGGAATCGGGTTTATTCATTCTCCTCTACTCAAACAGACAAAATACACTAACAAGTAAGATATTTCAAGAAAGAAAAACTAACTTATAAGTGAAACTTACACTGTGCACATATCAATTAAAGGGACTGAAAGTGTACTTTCAAATGCCAGCAGACTCAAGATTACAGTGTACACTGTACTCTCAATGCTAGAGTACACTGGCACGGTTTCTTTGCACTTTTATTTCCCACTATATATATAAGAATATTTTAGACATCATTGATCAAGCTATGGTTTAAAGGGTAACATTGTAAATCGGACATGCCACTCTTTTAAAAGGAAGGTCACTTAAAATTACACTTGCAGTCCCTTTAAGCAGAATTTGTACAGAAAAGTGTTTGATTTAAGGAATCTAATGCATGCAGTGGATTGGTTGCCAACCCTTCTCACAGCTGTGGGTCAATCTAATTTAACAGAGGAGCTTGATGGCATGGACCACTGGGCTTCTATTAATTCAGAGTAAGCAAATCAAAATCTTACTTCAATTTTATTTAAAATCTTAATGCAATTCTTGAGAAAAATAAATGTCTTTAGAAAAGAGGCTCCCCCCAGAGATGAGATGGTTTACAACATAAAGGAGAAACCCTTCAAAGCTGCATTACGAAAGGGAAAGTACAAATTGCTGTGGGGCAGCTTGTCACAAAAGGTATTATTTGTATTTCTTTATTCTTTTACAAGTTTAAAAAAAAAGGTAAAAATTGTTTATAAGGGAAAAGTAAAATGCCAAAATGTCCAAGGGCAATTTGACATTTATACCTTTAAATAAGGATGTCTTAAAGACAAAATTTGATAATCTGTGACAGAAACAAAATATATAACCTTAAAGAAATTAATTAATCTTAATAGGATACTTGGTTCCCAGCTGCAGAAGAAATCATAAACAAAAACTCTTGCGATAACATTATCAGCAGCCGATCTAAAACTCCTTTAGTGAATAAAAACCAAGGTAAATCACAAAAATTTACAATGTTTTCACAATTATAACATCAATACTTTTGTTGCTTTCAGAACGTTTCATTGAACCACACACAATTGATACTGTTGAGAGTCTTTTTCTAAACATCAGTGAAGATTTTGACTACGAGGATGAGGTTATAAATAAATTTTGATAGCTGAAGTGACAGGCGTTTTTTAAAATCGAATTTTAATTTTTTTGATTTTTTAAGAAAAAAGGTTCCCTTAAAACAATTCCGCCAATTCAATCCAGCTATTAAGTCAGCTATAGCTGACATATAGAAGTAAAATACATACATACAAATATATATATATATATATATATATATATGAGCGAAGAGCTTTATTATATATATATGGATTTTTAATAGATAAGGGATTTTTAACGGCCCTTGAATTTTAAGAATAAAGAACTGGAGGCCCTTCAATACCAAGCTTATGAATCTCAAAGACGAGGATATCCAGATGAATATTATTATGAGGATGACATCTCCAACCAAGAGATTCAAGAAGAGGATGGTGAAGAAGAAAACTTTGAGAGCATAGAACTTATGGACCAAGAAAAGGAAGGAAGTATGGAGGCTAACTCCAGCTTTGCACGTGAGGCAAGGAACAAAAAACACTTTGAGAGGAATCAGAAAAGTCGAAAACACAAAAAAGGTTTGCAAAACAAAGGTGGAAACAAAAAGAAGAAACATCCTTCTGGTAACTTCAAGAGAAGATTTACCAACAAGAATGGGGTCTTAATTAAACCATGGGGCAAAACCTTTCTGTATGATCTACAGGTAAACAGGAGATGAAAAATTAAAACTGAATTATTATCTTAACTATTTTGGTTTTCTAGGCTGACCCTGAAGAGCGCATAGATTTAAGCAATGAGTATCCTGACATTGTTAGTGATCTTAAAGACAGAGTTATGAGACACTTTGAAAAACTTCTTCCTAGATTTGCCCCAGATGATTTAGAGGTAATCATTAAGAAGTAGACACGGTTAAAAAATTATTAAAAAAGAGCTGGGAACTTTTGTGTTGGATACCTATAATCCTAATTGCTTGATCTGGGTTTCCCAATTGGGCACTTTATTACAGAGAGTCTGTTTGATCTTTTCATTTTGGATATATACATTATCTGTGTTCTCTAATTGGTTGAACTGATTTGCCATTTGTTTTTCACATCTGACACTATGATTGGTTGAAATTTAGACACTTGATTGAGTGTTCTGTAGATTGACAAAAAATCAAGCATTGAAATTGATATCCACAATACAAGCGTTCCCACCTAAGGACCAATTAAAGTTTAAACATGAATTTTTAGGCTGGATATCCAAAATATTGGGGAGGAGTCTACAGTCCTGGTTGGTGTGAAGCTAAATATATTTGAGTATATGTATAGATTTATTAATAATAAAAAAATAAAATTCATATCTTAGAGCATTGTGCAACAAAAGTTCAACAGAGCATAATAATTTTTTGAAGTTTTTAATTACAAATTTGTTTTAAAGTCAACTCTGTAGTTTAAAACCTCATACTTCTTTTTACAAACCGGGAGGTCTGAGGGGGGGGGGGTATCCTCCCCCCACCCCCAAAAAAATGCCTTTTAAAATAAGTTTGGATGTGAAGTTATTAAACAAATTTTTGAAGCCTAGCTAACTTAAGAAAAAACAGTGACAAGTATAACAATATTCTTTGTAAAAGGTGTATGTTATAATGTTTATATAATATTTACATAATATTTATATAATATTTAAATCATTTAAGCTTTTCTCAAATCACCCGGACCACTCTTCAACTGTAAGTTATGTAGCCTAACTGACAATTATGTACCCTTACTGATGCAATACATTTTTTTGAAAACAAATATTCCGTTAATTAATAGTTTTGAAAAGTCTATATACTTAAAGGACTTGTATAAATGAAAGGAATATGACAAACCACCAAACTATTCTTCAGAAAATTGTTTGTTCAGTAAAAGGTTAGGTGAGGTAAGATTAGGTTAGGCTTTGTTTAAAAAAAATTGGTTGTGAACAATCAAGTTTATTAAGAAGCTGTTTGTTAAGGTTTAACTGATCAATAAAATATTAACAATCATTAACAATTTAAAACCATTTGTATTGAAAAAACAATGGTTTTTTTATTTTTCTTAACAATCCAATTTGGTCATTCATCATTCATTAATTTTTCAGAATGTTAGAAAATTGACTGAATTGAGACTAATTATTTCAGTCATTCTTATGTTTTTGAAAACAAATCAAAAAACCAAAATCTAGACAAATAGACACGCACATGCTTTAATTCAACCATCAACATGTTCCACCATTAAATTAACTGTTTCATCTATTCTTCAAAACATCGTATTATCCCCCCTTAGATACAGGCTGAGATGAGGGATCCTAGTTTAAGTGTAGACTTGATGGTGAATAAAAGCCTAAAGTTGGATTGTAAAACCATGCCGGGGTAAATCTATTCAGTATTTTCCAAACGTTATTTAGGGGGTTGGAAGAAACGTTTCTCTTTGATCTCTTGCAAGAGTAGTGCAAACCCATTATATCATCATTGGCTAAAGGAAGATGACATTCATATTATTACTTCATCTTTTAAATTGTAGTTTACATTCAATGAACTTGAAATCATAAATCAAAACTCTGACAAAGTTTAACTGTACGCCACATCATCATTCTTTCTTGAAAGTCCACACTTTAAGCATTTACGTCTACAAGTTATCTGATATGGGTGTTAGACACTTGGACTAACCATATGAACTATTGATATTTTCACTTTTGTTTATATTGACAATTTTTTTGATTAATTATGCTTTTTTTTAAATTCAAAGTATTTTTATTAAATTGCATTTGAATTTCTAATGGTTGAATTACATGCAAAAAAAAGTAATCCAATTAAAGCTATCTATACTTACAAGTGGTCTTGAACTAGGGTTTCCAGTCGTAATTACGTTACACGTAATTATGCGTAACACTTTCTTTCACTTACGCAGGAGCGTTACGCGTAATAACCCATGCATTACGTTTACAAAAGAAAGTCTAGTTTCGCGTAATTAATGCGTAATTATGCAAAATTATGTAATACGAAACAATTCTGTAATAAATAAAGTACATATTAATTCTCAGAAATAAATATAGCGGGAAAGTATGTGTAAGGATATGCCGGCTACAACCATGTCAAACATATTTTGACGATTTTATTGACATTTTTTCAAACAAGGAAGGTACACTTGAGTAAGTAGGTTGAAATATTAACAAGTTGTCGAAAATTAAAAATTTATAGATAATGTATTTTTTTGATAAAAATAAAGTGTTGGCCCTTTCTGAAACTTTTTAGTTGTTGAACGTGAAAATTACATAGTATTGGCTGAAATTTCTGATTCAACTTGCGTGACATTATTTTCCTAGTAAGTTATGAGTTGTTTTATTTAAATTAAAAGTTAAAACTTCAAAATTTCATAGATGTAATTATTGCAAAATTTCAGTAATTACGCGAAATTACCTCGTAGAAATTACGTGAAATTACGCCGTAATTACGCGTAATTATAGTTTCGCTTATTACGTGTAATCAATAGAAAATTTTGCGAAATTACATTGGGAGAAATTATGCAAAATTACGCCGTAATTTCGCGAAATAGTTTTTTCCCAATTACGTGTAATCCTGCGAAATTACACAAAATAAAAATTATTACGCGTAATTATGCATAAGAGAATAATCTATTACGTTGATAACCCTATCTTAAACCAGTGCCGATTAGGGTTTGCAAAACTCGTGCATAGTGTGTATTATTTATTTACAGTGTGAGTTAAAAAAAACATGGAAAATACCACTGTTTTACACTAAAATTTTTTCCAGAGTCAATATGTTCGACTTAAAAATATCAAAATATAATTATCAAAATGCATAGACTTGTAATATTATTTCAATTTTTTTACATCTGAGACATGATCCCTGCAAACATTTTTTAGAATTTTGTTACAACAATGTTAGCATTTTTTAATTCACTACATAGATTTGTTGAAGACATTCTTTTTGTGTGTAACATTTTAGACCACCCTGTTTCCCACATGTTACATCAAATATGACCCAAAAGCAAATTATAAGGCTTCAGTTCTGGTTTCTAAGTTGGACAAGAATGGTAGAGAAATCTAGGTTCTCTACCTTGTATGGAGTTCTGTTTGCGTTAATAGTGTTTGTAGATGCAGGGGGAGACAAAAGGAAGAGTAACCAAGCCCCACCCAATGTACTGTTCATTGTTGCAGATGATTTAGGTGAGAACAGGAAAGATTTAACAGGAAACACATATATATATATATATATTTTTCGATTTCTTTCAGAATATCACAAAAACATTCACCATTTAAAGTTAAAATCTAAAATAGACTGTCTTTTTATATTTTTATTTTGGTTAATTTGAGATAATACATAAATATTGAATACATCAGAAGAATTTATTAAATGTCGTCTTGAACATTTTTTAATGGGTTTTGCCGCTGAGAATTTTTTGACAAGAATCATAGTATTCCTAAATCTCAGTAATTGTACTGAATGTACTGAAGCTGTTGTGTACTTTCTCAATCCTTCGAAGCTTAACAAAGGGATACATGTAGGTTACTAAAACTTAGGGTTTCCAGTCATGATTACTTTATGCATAATCGCGATTAACAATTTCTTTCACTAATGCAGGAGCATTACGCGAAATTATCTGTTAATTACGTATACAAAAGAAAGTCTACTTTCACGTAAAAATGGCATAATTAATTACATGAATTTATGTAATATGAAACCATTCTGTGATAATTATGTATTATTTCTCAGCAATGAATATGGCGGGAAAATGTGTGCAAAGATATGAAAATTACATTAACACAGTATTGGCTAAAATTTATGATTTCAATTTCAAAAAATTAAGTTGTAATTACACAAAATTTAACTTTTTTAATAAGACTCAACAATACAAAAAACTTGGCAAAGTTAATTTGTAGAAATTTTACTAATTACCCGTAATGATAACAAAAATATTTATAGAAATTTAGTGAAATGGAAGTTTGGCTAATTAGGCATAATTATTGCAAAACTTCGCGAAATTACTTTTTTGAAATTACGCGAAATCATGGCAAAATTTTGCAAAATTGAAGTTTCACTAATCATGCATAATTTTTTCAAAAATTTATCAAAATTACTTTATAGAAATTACATGAGATTACGCCGCACTTTCGGGTCATTGAAGTTATTCCAATTATGCTGTAATCCTGCAAAATTACACAAAATAAAATTTATTTTGATAAACTGTATGTAATTTCGTGGAAATAAATAATCTATTACATTGGAAACCCTACCAAAACAATAAAAAAATTTATTTGTTGAAACAAACAAACAATCAACCATCATTCCGTAGAAGTCAAGGCTGAGACCTCATCAAAAATAGCCATAATGGCTATTAATGTACCAATTGGTGACACACTGTCTAGTGTGGCCAACTGTCCCAGTACAGACCAATGACATATGCCACCGCCCAACTGCACACTAACAGCAACCCAGGATAGTCCATCTTGGTACTATCCTAGTATGAAAGTGTTAAAAGGTATAATAATTTATTTTTAGTTGATTGATTAAAATAAGATTGTTTGAGAAACCCCACCTGTAAGGAAGACCTACTGCTGGCCTATGTGACTTGCAACCAGCCAGGATTCCACTAACACTGCCATTTTTCTCCCTCTCTCAAGCATTACTCCTGGTCTGACCCATCTCCCCAAAGATAAGTCCTGAAAATCTGCCATACAGGTCTTACAGAGTATGAGTGAAACTCTGAGATCCGGAAAACCCTACGCAGGGCAGCCACAGATGGGCAAACAAAGATCACATGAGACTTTACCAGTCTGGCACAGACACCCTTAAAAAGACACCAGGGGCATGAGACATGGGTAACAGTTGTACCTATCTTTATACCTGTTACACAACTTAGCTTTTCCAGCCTGGATTCTGCACAGGGTCTTACTTGCTCTGGAGTCATTCACAAAACCTTGGAGCTGGAACCATTTCCATGGCTGTGAAGCTGCCATTACAGAAGAGTGTTCTTGCTTAGGTGTTACACAAAGCTGACTGCACTGACCGACATTGCTTTCTGCAACTCCTTACTTGCAAACTCTGCAATGATTCCCACCTCTTGCTGAATTTCCACCAAGGTTCACCCAAGAGTCTGTAGGATGCTCGAGTATCTCATGCAAAAACTCCATTAAGAGTGTATTGGACATAGTCTTCAGTACATCCCAGATGAACAAAGTCTGTCTAGTCTGGATTTTGTGTACCATAGGCCTGAGTCCATCCAGGTAAGAACCATAGAAGATGAGACTGGGATCTGTCTTTTAAACCTTGCAGTCTCTTTTGACTCAATGCTAGACTTTTTAAGAGTCACTGCCTCCACACAATACCAGATCGCTGGGATTACACAAACCTCTCTAAGTCTCTTGGCAACCATAGACCTATCAAGAACCCCCCTTGATAGGTTCATTATAGCTTACTCATAGTTTGTGGCTTTACAAATCATATCCTTCTCATACACTCCTATCATAGATATACCTCACACTTGGATTGTCACACATGAATACTTGTGTCCAGAAAATCTCATTTGGAGCATTGGTAAGAATATAGGTCTTAGAAGTTGCAAGCTTCATGTGCATGTCCATACAGATCTTGAAACAATCCTGAGAAGTTTGTTTATTCCTCTCTTAGGGGTTTTTGACAACAGGAGCAGGTCATCTGCAAAGAATAATGCTGTTAACATAACTTTAAATTGTTATTAATTATTACTAAAAGTAAATAGTTACTAGGACATAGTCCTAATCGTGGACAGGACCACATTAAACCCCACATCCCATTCTATGCTATGGTCGGCAGCTCCTGGCTCTTTAAGATTCACAACTGGTGCATTAAGAAACTTTTATTACAAGCATTCAATTCCTCAAAAAACACTTTCCTAAAATGATCATCCTAGGTTTATCTCAGCAATCAGTTCGATTTTCAAAAAAAAGTGCAAAAATGAATAAATAAAACCAGTTGGAGTCTTTAAAATCAAACGAGCAAGAGTCAGTTTTCATACCATTTATCCTTTCCAGTATTCATAAATTTGGACTGCTGGAACTCTGTAGTGGCCAGAGCAGAACACCTGTAAAAACAATATATAATTTTGTATTATCATTTTATGCATTTTCCAGAAAATAAAATTTGCCAAAAGATCAAAGTTATAAAAAAAATGTGCCTTCAAATAAGGGCATTGGTAAGAATATAAGTCTTAGAAGTTTCAAGCTTCATGTGCATGTCCATACAGAATCTTGAAACAATCCTGAGAAGCTTGTTCATTCCTCTCTTAGGGGTTTTTGACAACAGGAGCAGGTCATCCGCAAAGAATAATGCTGTTAACATAACATTCCTTAACTTAACCCCAAGCTTGGTGCTGTCTATAGCTCTCCCTAGAGGCAATATACAATTCCAACAGCAAGGGAGATAATGACTGCCCTCCTGTTTAACCTCTTGAGTGGAGTACAAAGGTTCAGACAAATTAATCTGTTCACATTTATTGAAGTATATTGACTGAATGAGAGACACTACCCTTCCTTCAAAGCCAATACTTTGTAGCTTAGTATAGAGCAGTTCCCAGCTAACTGAATCATGTGCTTTTGCAAATTCACAGAAAGCTAACCAGATTGACTGATGTTTCCTTTTTGCACTCTGTAGCACGACAAGGATCATAAAAACACAGTCCACCATTGATTATCTAACCTGAACCCGTACTGAACTGGTCCATAGAAACCTACCCTCTCACATATGGTGTCCATTTGCTTTTGGACTGTTTTAGTGACCATACTGACCATCACACTTGAGACTGTGATGGGGCACTTTTTAGCCACTTCTAGGGACGGCTTCTTTCTATCAATAAGAGTCATTATACCCACCAGAAGTGATATTTTTATCCCATTAGAATTTGTTTGTCTTTTTTTGTAATAAAAAAAAAATAGCCATAAAATATGTGGGGAATATGGGGACATGTCACATCTTTAAAGAGCTTCACACAAATATTCAATCAAAAAACTAAATATTTGCAGCATTTCATTATCAGGAGATTTAGAAAATGGCATTTGATAAACTCTTGAGACATTTTCAATATTTAGGGATTAACTGTAGAAAAAAAAATGAATTTATTAATGTCTAAGGGTAGCACAAAGGGTTGCTAAAATTTTGCGAAAAAAAACTGCTAAATGAAAAACTTTGAGCCCCTTGTAAACATCATTTTTTTCAAATTAAAACAAATGTCTGTGCCCATAATAAGCTACCAATCTAGTCAAAAAATAATTAGACCTCATTATGAACCAAATTAACATATATATCTTCTTAAAATAAGTCTATTGTTTATTAAGATTGGTTATTAAGGGTAATTGACTAGGATATATATCCATATGTATATGTATATATATAACCTTCAATTTTAAAAGTGTTGGAAAGTTTCTTGGAGGATAATAAAAATATCATTCTGAACTGTTGTTTGATTAAATGTAAATGTGAAACTCCACTAATCAATTAAAAAACATATAAAATCCTGTGTCTTTTAGAGTTAGACTAGCTTGGGGAGTCATGGGGACCCATCTTTGCCTGGAAAATAACATTTTCCTATAACTGTTAACCTACTTTTTTAAAAACTAAGCACATTCCCATGGTTCTACCTAATGCTCCAATAAAAATTTGAGATAAATCAGTAAAGGGGTTCATGAGCTCTGTTATCAGACCAGTGCAGTGCTTAGGATCCGGATTTGGATTTGTTGGATCTGCAACATTTTGGTTTCTTGGATCCACAAGAAAATGTGGATATCCAAATCCAAGGGGCCCAAAATATCAACCAATCCAAACACAAATTAAAATAGTTAACAAATAATAAATTAAAAACATTTTCCAAATTTCTAAATAGTTCACTAAGTTTCAGCAAAAGAAAAAGAGAAAAAGGAGGAAAAAAATTGTGGCATCAAGATTTATATGATCCTGGAAAAATTTCACTAACGTCTTCTTATTGTAACCCCCCCCCCCCCTCTAGATGACATCTATTAAGGGTGTGAAACAAAAAATAAAACTTCAAAAACCGACATTTTTTACATGTTTATACTGTAGAAATAACCAATTAACAAGTATTTACTCTGCCCTATATGCAACTGTGGGGTCACAACCAATAATATACCCCAACATTGGACACTTAACACTTAACTCGGAAATGAGCACTTAAGATTTTAATCATGTTTAACTAGGATTTCCAAGGCAAGTGGATTTAACTTGCAAGCTATTGTGAGCCCTGTAATTCAGCACAATTCTGAACAATTCTTAACAATTCTGTGCAATTTCATGCAGTTCTCAGCAACAGAATTCTGTTTAGAAACCCTACATTTAACTCTGCACTTTAAGGTTGGAATGATGTGTCCTGGCATAATGATAACATACATTCACCAACTCTAGGAAAGATAAAGATCATCTGTTTAAAGTTAACAATGAATTTAGAAAACCATCTTAACTTTTATATTTAAAATTTAAATATTTATGAAATCTAGAAGTAGACAAACAGTTCTGTTTCTAAATTTTGTTTTGACCAATCAAATCAGATAAGTTAGCTGCAAAGGGAATTCTTCTGGATCAATATTATGTAATGCCAACCTGTACACCATCCAGGTAATATTCATGATAATGAGATAATCTTCCAAAATCCCAAATGTGGAGTTCCTAGACCCCCACTGGACATTCAAGGACCAAAATAGGATATTCTTTAACTAAGATCTGAATATTGAATTTTTAGGATCGCCATGCTCACTGGAAAATATCCCTATAGGTAATTAAACTTTCTACTTAAAACAAAAAAGCATATGGTCCNTTATAGAGTTTTTGGACAGAAATTTCTCTTTATCAAGAAGGTTCAAGCCTTTTTAGATTTAATTTAGTTCCAAACTTCAGTGAGGGACAAATTTTTGGTGAAAATCCGGGAACTTCATAGCACGTGCTATGACAGCTAATTTACCATTAAAGCACAATGATTACTTTATAGCACATTCATTATGAAATTCACAATGAAGTGAGTAATAAAATAATTATTGTAATACCTCATACTATGTACCATGAATTAACTGTTAAAACTCTAAATTGCTTTAGTCATCTTAATTTTTTGCTTTAACATAATAACAAAACAAAAACATTAGTTTTTTAATTAATATTTTACCATTACAATATAATTAAGACATTGTTTACAGTTGCTTTTAAACCTACTTAACTCAATAACTACAGACTGACTGCCCTTATCTTTGATTTTCAAGGGTGGGAAGACAACACATGTATATTAAACCTTTAATGCCAGCTGGTCTTCCCGTTAATGTTAAGATAATGCCACAGTATTTTAAAGAGGTAACCATTAAATATTCTGCTGCTTTTTAAATAAATTTCTTAAAGAATTTTGCATATTGGTCATGAAGAGTTTCTAATATTGATCAATTACCAATTAAATCTGTAATAGTTTCTTTTTAAGGATTCAATTTTCTGCTGGAAATATTTATCTTAATGCAAAAATACATGGCACTGTTTTTTTTTTATATATTTTAACTATATTTTAACTTAACAAAATAACGACAATATTTATATTTGATAGGCTGGATACGCCACTCATGCTATTGGTAAATGGCATTTAGGGTACTGTCACAAGGTAAATTAAACAATTAGGATATTTTGCCTTGACAGAGGTTTTTAATGTAAAGGCATGCTTAATACTGATATATAAATGTAATTAAACACTTGATAAACTTGATTTTAGAACTATACTCCTACAAATAGAGGATTTGATTCCTTTTATGGTTTCTACCTTGGATCTCAGGTATCGAAAGTACTGTTTTAGCTCAAAAGCAAGCTTTAATAGTTCATATTTTTGTGTGCAAATATCATCAATTTTCAGGACTATTATTTGCACAATAAGATAGAAAACATGGTGACCGGATATGACTTCAGGTTCAATGAAGATGTTTTAAGAGGTACAAAGCTTTTTTGTATTTTAGAAAATACTACTTGAGAAAGATCTTTTATTGAAAAACCATGCATTTAAAAAAATTAGCAATTACAAAATGTTTAGGTCCAGAGGTTGATGGGAAATATTCAACAGAATTGTTTGTTAACAGAGCAAATGCACTAATTGAAGAACATAAAGATGGAGAAAAGCCATGGTTTACATACCTATCATTCCAGAGTGTCCATAATCCAATTCAGGTTTCAAATTAGTCAAGAACAATTTTATTAATCTTTCTTAAACTATTTTTACATAGAAAATTTAAAATCAACCAAAATTTCATGACAAAAATGTTATATTTTTTCATTATTTAAAACAAAAAATTTCAAGGTATTTTTAAAGGTTCACAACAGGTTTAATTAATTTAATTAAAACCAGTAAACCTTAAAAAATTTTAAACTCTTAAAAAAGAGGAATTAATTCAGGTTCCAGATGAATTCACAAGAAAAATATGTAGATATAAGAATGAAACAAGATTTTACTATAGTGCAATGGTAAATGCTCTTGATGATGCTGTGGATAAGGTAAACAATGCTTTTCAGCGACTTCATTCACAATAAAAACACTGTTTTTTTGTTTTTTCGTTATTTAATACCCAATACACATCTATAATTTTACAACAAAAAAGGTAGTAAAAGGGCTTAAGAGAACTGGACAGTATGAGAATACAGTGATAGTGTTTACAACTGACAATGGCGGAGCAGATAAGGATGGAGGAAGTAATGAACCACTCAAAGGAACCAAAGGAACCCTTTATGAAGGGGGGACAAGAGGGATAGGGTTTATTCATTCTCCCCTTCTCAAGAAGACCAAATACACTAATAAGTAAGAAAATTTCATGATTTTACCATTTTATGAATCCAGAGTGATGAACATTACAAAAGGAAAATTACTCAATTTTTATAAGAAATCTGATGCATGCAGTTGACTGGTTGCCAACCCTTCTGGCAGCTGTGGGTCAATCTGACTTGGCAAAGGAGCTTGATGGTGTGGATCACTGGGCCTCATTCAACTCAGAGTGAGATAATTAAAAATTATTGATTGATTATTTTACCCAAATGTAGTCGATTTTTACAAGGCTATCAAATTATGAATATTACTGTTAATAAACAACCTGTCACAAAAAGAGAAATTAACCTCTGGCTTACATAACAAAATCAGAATTGAATGGCAAGGTTGGGACATATAATGAAAACTTATTTTTCAGAAATGAGACAGCTCCAAGAGAGGAAATGGTTTACAATATCAAAGAGAAACCATTCAAGACTGCTATACGTTTGGGAAAATATAAGCTGTTGTGGGGGAATTTATCACCCAAGGTAAGTTCATTGCTTTTAGTCACGAGACAAACAATAAGGGATGGGAACTTGAAAATAGAATTAAATTAACCAAAAGGAGCCACAACATCATTAAAGTCACTAATAGAATTTTTTTTTTTTTATAGAATACATGGTATTCTGCCCCAGAAGAGGTCATTAATGTTCAAGACTGTAAGAAAATACTTAAGAACAAGTCTAAAACTACATTAGTAAACAAAAATGAAGGTAGCTATTGAGGAATATTTATTTAGTTCTTTTAGCAAAGAAAACAGGAAGCACTTCATTATGAAGGGAATGACTTTGAGAATAGAGGGCTTGTAAGTGACACCCATTCTGAAGATGAATATTTAGGACCAGATCTCCAAGAAAGAGAAATTGAGTCTATTGAAACTTTAGACAGCTATGACGAAGAAGAAACAGAAAGTGAGCAAGATTTAAGTCTTGTCCAGGAGGAAAGAAAAAGACAACATCAAGTAAGAAATAAAAAATATCATAAAGGAGGAAACAAAAAGAAGAAACAGCCAAGTGGCAATTTCAAGAGAAGATTTACCAACAAGAATGGAGTATTTATCAAACCATGGGGCAAAACTTTTCTTTATGATCTAGAGGTGAGTAAGAAATGAAAAAAAAATTTTATTACAATTTAAACTTTCTTTAAACCAGGCTGACCCTGAGGAGCGCATAGATATCAGTAACGACTTTCCAGACATTGTGGAAGACCTAAAAGATAGAGTAATGAAACACTTTGAAAACCTTCTTCCCGGATTCGCACCAGATGATGTGGAGGTAGATAATATACAAAGGATTCTCATAATTCATGCTCAGACCATGATTTTAATGCCTACATGCCTACAGCTAATTATCATCTTTTCTGAGAATATCACTGTAAAGTTCATCCCTGAACTATTAGATGCATAAAGTTCTTAATTTTTTTAATTTTAAAATTTTACTGTCAGGTCCAACATTAGATTTAAAATATGTGTTATAGATATTTTTTTGACTTGATTTTATTTTAGGCTGGATCACCCAAATATTGGGGAGGAGTTTATAGCCCTGGTTGGTGTGAGGCTAAATACATTTAAATAACATATTAATAACCATTTATTTTAACTGATTTTTTTCCCTTTATATTAAATGTTAATTCCAAAATTAGGTTTAGGCAATCATAATCAACATTTCTATAAATCTACTTTGCTTGTCTGTTTGTTTGTATCCAATAAACGTCAAAATGGCTGAACTGATATGGCCCAAATTTTTGTCAGACCTCACATAACCCCACGACATTTATTAATAAAATCCAAAAACTTTTTTTTGTTTTGTTTTACAATGTATACAAAAAGAAAATGATGCTTCTTTAATCAATTTGGTATTTATCATCAGATAAGTACTTACTTTAAAATTATTTTTTTTTAAACATTAAGAAAAATGGAGAACTTTGATGTTTAACTTGAATATTTTAAGGGACAATAAATGTAATTTCAATAGACCCTAAAGTGGCATGTCCGATTCACATCTGTTTGTTTGAAGTTATGGAAATTCTTTTTAAGAGTGACTTGTGGATTTATGGACCAAGAAAAGAAGGGAAATTAAGAGAATTTTTGCCTTTTGGAAGAGTTCAGATGTAAATCAGGCATGAGACTCTATATATAGAGGATACTATAAACTTTGTCTACAGCAACTCAAAGAAAAAATTTAAATAATTTTAGGAGCATTTTTAATAGATTTAATGAAAAAGAAATTAAAATACAAGAAGATGGTACTCATCACTAAAGCCAGACTTGTACATCTTAAACCAGGCTTAACCAATGCTTGTTCCAAATACAGGGAGTTTCAGTACATGAGACTGAGAAATTGGTCCATAGAAAGGTTCTCCACGACTAAAAAGACAAAAAGTGTTTTTTAAAAAAAGAATATTAAGGATTCTTAAAAATTAACCTTAATCAACCTCAACAAAGGTTATATTAAGTTTAACATGTTCTTTTCATGGTTAATTATTTCAATAAACATCAGTGCCTCTAATCTCTAATACTTCCGAGGGTTTTTTTTTCTTCTTGAATATTTTTTTCCCCAGTGAATTAGGAATGTTTGCACATAATGCCAATAATGTAATGTAGGGGTCTTCTATGAATCACTGCTTTAGGAATAAAAAATCAACTTTTGGGTAAAAAGTCAGGGGTACATATTTTTAAGAATTGAAATGATTTTTGATGCTCCAGAGAAAAAAATTACTGGCAAATTTTTTCTACTCATTTCAATACTTTCAACACTAAAATTTATTTGTTGTATCCTACAAAATGACCATTTATTCCTAAAATTCAGGCCAAAACCTTAAAAAAGTTCTTACTTGATGCATTTCCAATATTTTCGTTCTCTTTTTCTATGCACTGCAGATACTCCTCTTTGCTCCAAACTAAATGAATAATTTAATAATTTCCAGATTAGATAATGAAATTTCAACACTTCAAGAATATTAATGAGTTAAATTTGTATTAAATCTAAAAATGTTTAATAGATTTAAATTTCTTGTGCTTCTTAGGCCTAAGAGAAGCTCCAATTTCACTAAAAACAAACACACGATTTTATTATAAAAATAAAATGCTAGGTAAGATCTAGATGAACATTTTTTTCAGGAATATTTTACTGGTGCATACAAATTGAACTTGAGGCTCATGAAAACCGAATGTATCTATCACTACTTACACATAGCTTGGAGCTGGTGTATTCTGAGCTCTATCTGAGGGTGTATATAATCCATCACCATTTGCAACATCCTAGATATTAATATATATAGATACAATACATTTAATTTCTAAGTAATACCTTCAATTTAACATTTTTAAGTGTTTTCTTAGCCAAGACCCACAGAAATCTAGATTTAGTGCATTTTAATTTTGAATTGATAGTATAGTAGGTAGGAATAACTGAATGTTTAAGGTGGGAAAATAACCTTACGCCCACTATATACCTGATGATAACCCGGTGGTTCATAAAAGGTTCCAGTCATTTTATCCGACCTCATGAGATTTTTCTTAAAGTGCGCCCTGTACCAGGGGAACTGATGAATAGTGGATCCGTACTTTTTGATTAGCTCCATGTTCTTTAGCTTTATAGAGTGGTATAGCTGGAAACTGGAACAAACAACAAATATTTATATTTTTCTTTACCCTACTTATATTATTCGCAACTTGCTCTGCATTACTAATGTTATTCATTGCACATGCTCAACCATACTTAAAGGGAGTGTTCGCGAAAAATCAAAGAGGTATAGGCTTACGATGAAAAATAATCGCTTTTGATCGCTACTAATCTTATTTCTATCTGTTGCGTCTATGAGGAGAAATTTGTTAAAAACGCCTTATACTGAAGAGCGTAGTGTCCATAAAAATTCAGAAAGTTGCAATAAACAACTCGGATCATAAAAAAATCAAATTAATTTCAAATAAATCATTCAGATATTACAACCTATGGTCTTCGATTATTTTTCGACGCATTCGTATATAAATAATATTTAATATTCGTTTTGTATACGATGTCTCCGCTCTGGAGGCTTTGAATGATTACACGTGGTAGAGACACCTAGCGTAAAAAAGTGATTATTTTTCGCCATAAGCGAATTTGTATGGACGCTACGCTCTTCATTATAAGTCATTTTTAACAAATTTCTTCTCATAGACGCAACTGATAAGATTAGTAGCGATCAAAAGCGATTATTTTTTCGCCGTAAGCCTATACCCTCTTTCATTTTTTGCGAACACTCCCTTTAAGATATTCATAATATGCTCCAGCTTTGTTATTAATAAATTGCTCTATACTACTTCAATTATTCATAGCTTGCTCCTACTTTATTATACTATATATAATCTAAAAAATCTTACTTATGTTATTCATAACTTGCTTTATCCTGCTTACGTTATTTTATCTATTTTATCCTTTGTATTATTCTTTGCACTGATAATCCTACTTCAGTTATTCAAAGCTTGCTCCTACTTCGTTATACTCCTTATAACCTGATCTACCCTACTTGATTTATTTAAAACTTGCTTTATCCTGCTTCTGTTATTCATAATTTGCTTTATGCTGCTTATGTGATTCATATCTATTTCTATCCTTTTTGTTATAATCCCAACTTGCTCTACCCAATAAGAATACAGGATCCGTTGGATCCACATCTTTCTAAATAACTGGATCCAGATTTGAATCCACAGAAGTGTTCGGATCCCAAGAACATATTCAGAAAATCTCCCGTGTCTAGAATCCATATTTTCATCAAAATGTAAGGTATCCTACGCGCTGTTTGAAAAGAAAATCTAATATTTAGAGTAATAATATTGTTAATATCTGTTTCCTAAGATCGTTATACGGTTTATACGGATCATCAGGAATATGTCTGATCGCCTAAAACAATAATAACAGTATGAAAATCAAAACTCAACACAAAGGATTACTATGACTTCAGGAAAACGGAAATTATTGTTAAATATGAACTTTAAAAATTAGACAAAGCAGATTAACATAATTTAGGGATTCATTATTAGTTAAAGAAAAAGAAAACGTCCACTTTCTTTCTTCTTTGAGAGACAAAACTTCTCAACAATACCTTGCCTTATTAGATCGAACGAGAGATATTTTTGATTTAATAATTAAATTATAAAACATTTAAATTGGACTGTATTTTCAACCACTGTTGGGAAATATGTAATGTCATTTAGGTTTAGTATTGACAGCAAAAAAAAACTGATTTCTTCAACTAAGATCAGACAAAATTTTAGATGGTACCACTGTAAATCGGACATGGCTCTTTTAAAATATGGGTAAAATCAAATTTCTTCAACAGGCCCTTTCAGTAAATATTATTTAAGAATGAACATATACAAAAAACGTGAGATGATTGGTGCTAATTACAAACCTTAATATCTGAGAGAACTGCTCTATCAAACCTCCGCTTGTGATACGGAGCCACAAACACGTGTTTTTCTCGGACTCTCAGCTGAAACTGGTTCTTCTTCCACGCTTTCTTGTTTCGACCAGCACGTGTTCTTAACAGTTAAAAAGTTTGGGAACTCAAGAATCAAGATTGGAATTCTCTGGTTTAAAAGACTCCAGTGATATATAATACATATTTACAAGAAAGGGGTTTCAATGAAAAAATAGGAAAAGAAACTTTCAAACTTCTTACCAAAACATAATAAATTGCTTAACTTGCAAGTGTTTCGCATAAAATCCAAACAAAAAGAAGATTTTATTAATTTAGGTGGGAAATGGCTGTGTTTTTTAAAAAGTACTGGCTTTAATATAACACATACATGAAGGGAAAATGGAAAGACTTAAAAAAAAACAATGAGACATAAACCACAATTGAGCATACATCTGAAGTCTTTTCTGTTAGGATTGAAATACAAAAAAAAACGATAAACGATTCGAACAAGTTTTTTTTAAGATTACCTGATCCACATACCCCAGTCCAACCTCTTGAACCTGAGCTCCACCGCCTTGAGCCCCGTTCTCGCTCCTTTCTCATTGTACAAGGTGATTCCATAACCTTCAGCTGCTGTCTCTCCTCGACCATGTTCATCCATTGCTTTGAAGTAAGATCTGAACATTACCGTGGTAAATATTAACTGTAATATTATACCCCCCCCCCCAATATAATTTGTTGGGCACATTTTTCATCTACTTCTTTTATTTATGCTTACAAAACCCTACATATCCAAATCACTAGGGTACCCTAAACAATTTCGTCTATGCAGGAGATATCCATCATGTAAATCGATTATTCTAAATTGTGTAAAGATACTTGCGCATTACCGTTTCAGTTTAATCCATGAAGGAAGTTTTTAGAATTAGACACTTTTAAAGCTTGAAAAACGACGATATCCTCAATATTATAGATCATCTAACAGAATTTTGAAGAGTACCGTTGTGAATCGGGCAAGAAAGGTCACTTAAACTATATACTACGGTTAACACCTACCTCGAGTTAGCCAGTGTGCTTGAGATTGGTGGAAGTATATTTCTGTTTATAAGGTTATTTTGTAAACTTGATATTCTCCTTATCCCTGTCCTAATACAGTACATAATCGAGAAAAAAACATCAAATACTTCAGAAAAAATATCCTTGAAAGATTTTTAGTATTAATCATTGCCATGAACAATTCACAACGGCGGTCTTCAACACTGGTAAATTTTGATTTATCTTATATTTGTCAGGCCGCGGCTTCTTTGAAAAAAAGCCACTCGTGGAAGAGAGTTTCTCTAAATAACTTGCCAATCCTTATTTAGAAGAAAATATAATCTTAGAAACAAAATAAAGCACTTTATTATTTGTTTTCTAAACAGTTTCAGGAAAGGATTTATAATGTCTAAATTAATAACTTCATTTCACAACTTCACAAAAAGTAAGGACTGGCCAGATAGCTAAAAAAGAGCTTTGTGTCATTTCACTCATTTCTCAAAATGTATCTAATTATTTTTTGAGCCATCAAATCGTATCATTCTTTGCAAGAATGGCTTAAGGCTCCTAAATAAATTTTGAATTCTTATTGAATGTATTCCTGAGTTGGTTAGTCTGAGTTACACAGTTTAAATTTAGTCCCGCTAGGGATCGCATGAGCCCTAACATTTTAAGTCTGAAACTATAAATTATTGAATATATTTTTAATGCAAGATAATCAGGACGAAACAATTATATTTACTAGTATCACAGCATTCAGATCAATTGGGTGAATCAAAACAAAATCGGTTATGTCATGTCATAGAAGATAAATTCTCAAATTGATCTAAAAAAATAAATACAAAAATTCTGAAGTTGTAATTTGAAACTTTGATATCTACAAAAAATAGTTAAAATTTCAAATATGAAGATGTTAAATTATACAATTATTGCTTTTTTTTAAAAATATCTACAATCTAAATTAAAAAAGTGAATGAAAAAACAAGATAGTACAAAAAAAGGTAAATGAAAAATAATATATAGGCCATATTATAGCTTACAACACAAAATAAAAAATAAAAACATTTAAAGTAATCTAGACATAACAAATATATCCCAATAAAGCTCATTTTCATGCATTTTTCTCTTTTGTAGAATGCATAGTTCAGTTAACATCGTCTCCTAGTTTTTAAACTATGCCCTTTAGTTTAATTTAAATGAAAGAACGATTTTTTGCACATACTGTACACTGTAAACACATTTATGTCAGAAAAACAGACTGCATAGATCAGTTGATATAGTTTAGTTTTTAAAGTATGCATAGTTCGGTTGATAACCCCCTCCTCTTGTACATAATGTACACATGTTGACGTCCGGCAAACAGTCTGCATGGAAAGCATGCCTAAACAAATAAAATAATAATTAATACAGGGGGGAATGATTTTTGATGTTCTGCAAAAAAAGAATTAAAAATTGGACATTAAAAGACAAGTTTTTATTAAAAAAATTTCACCCAAATTTATTTCCCTTTACCTTAAAATTCGATTACTTTCATAAGGTCAGCAAATAAAACCCTGATTTTTTTTACCTTGATACCTAATTTCTGGGAGAAATAACGATTTTTAAAGGAGAAGGAAGGGGGGCAATGATTTTTCAGGGAAAATATACAACCCAGGAATAATAACGAGGATTTAAAAAAATTTATCCAATCCACCCTTGATGCATCCCAACTTCACACCGCCCAAAATATTAACAGCACGGTATGTAGAGATGGGCATGGTTTTTGTGAACGAAAAAAATTATTGAGAACGAACGAAATTATTCGTGAACGATGGTGTTTTACTGAACGAGCGAATATTTTCGATTTTTTAAAAAAAAACTATCGTATTTTTAAAAAAAAACGTTTTTTTCGAACAAAATTTTTTAAAATAACAATTTTTTACTGAAAGAACAATTTGTTCGAACAAACTTCTGAAAAAAACCTATCGCTTTTTAATGAGTAAACGATTTTACTAAATGGTCGTTCAGTACGAAAACGAACGAAAAAGATGGAAGATGAAAGATCATTTTGAGAATGAACGAAATCAATGTTTTTAAAAAAAATGCAAAAAACGAACAAAATGGGTCGTTCACGAACGATAAACAAACGAAATAAAAAAGCCGAATGCGCCCATCTCTAATTATGTGCCCAACACCCCTTTTATAAGTATAAAAATGCCGATTTGTTCACATTATACAAAATACATAGTATCACCCTTCCCTAACAAAACCATAAAAAACCTGCAGTTAAAGACAGTTATATTCTCCATCCTGGCAGGATCCAGGTTCAGCAATGATACGGAGCACTCGGAGCAAACCTGACCATTTTCAACCTTCAATCCTCGGGCTGAACTTCGCACCTAGAGAAATTAACTTTTCAGGCTAACCACTGGAATTGAGCCGGTCAACATTGTTTAGTAGGAAAAAGTAACAGATTATAATGTTTTTTTTTAGTTAAGTTTATGTCTGAATAATACGTTTAGTTTAATAAAAATGCAATAAGCTCATGTACGTTATATTTACATTATGGGAATTCCTCCTTCGTTCTCAACCTTTTTTTCATTTCTAATTATATCCCATCATTTACAAGCTTGGAAACCCAGATTTACCTGGAAACCAAGTTTTACTTAAAAATCAACTTACTCAACTTTTACCTTTAAAACTAAAGCTAAGAACATTCATGTGGTTCTACCGAGCTCCCCAATCAAAATTTAGTCATATCCATCAAGGGGTTCCCAAGTTATGATCGGACATAAAAACAAACCATCAGAAGAATTATAAGAACTAACCTGCTTTTGAAGAAGTGAAAAACAGTCCGAAACTAGAATCTTCTTACAGCCTTCTTGAAGAGAGATCTAGGTTAAGAAATATGATAAAATGACCGCAACTTTAAGCGACCCTCCAGGCAAAGACGACAATGCACGATTTACAACGGTACCCTTAAAACATTCAGATGATAAAAACCTGTAGATTGTAGTCCCTAAGCCCTACTATCCTGACGAATGTAGTCCCTAAGCCCTACTAACCTGTAGTTTATAGTCCCTAAGCCCTACTAACCTGTAGAATGTAGTCCCTAAGCCCTACTAACCTGTAGATTGTAGTTCCTAAGCCCTACTATCCTGTACACAGTAGTTCCTAATCCCTACTAAACTGTAGTTTGTAGTCCCTAAGCCCTACTATTCTGTATATTGCAGTCCCTACGCCCTACTAACCTGTAGATTGTAGTCCCTAAGCCCTACTAACCTGTAGATTGTAGTCCCTAAGCCCTACTAACCTGTAGATTGTAGTTCCTAAGCCCTACTATCCTGTACACAGTAGTCCCTAATCCCTACTAAACTGTAGTTTGTAGTCCCTAAGCCCTACTATTCTGTATATTGCAGTCCCTACGCCCTACTAACCTGTAGATTGTAGTCCCTAAGCCCTACTAACCTGTAGATTGTAGTCCCTCAGCCATACTAACCTTTAGATTGTAGTTTCTAAATCCTACTAACCTGTAGATTATAGTCCCTAAACCCTACTAACCTGTAGATTATAGTCCCTAAGCCCTACTAACCTGTAGATTATAGTCCCTAAGAATCTGAATCAAACTGTCCCTTAGTCCAGGAATCTTCATCCCGGTATCAATTTTCTCCACCAATATTCTAGAAAACAGGGGATATTTTTATTATAAAACAGTGATATGGGAGTAGGGGGAGGGGATGATTATTTACATAACCTCATAAATCCGTGTAATAATAAATAAATTTCAAAGGGAACCCGACATGGAACCCACAGAGCGCCTTCAGGGCACAGTTCATAAACTTTATTCAGGCATGTTTTTCATTTAAATATCATTTCATATAAAGCCTTACCTGGGGTCAATATGAGTTCCAATATTATGAAGAAGATAATTGATAAATATGGGTTTATCCAGACTATAGTTTATAATATCATTCCACAGTTCAACATCGTCATGCTCTAGACAGGAAACAAAACAGATAAATGTATATAAATGTGAAAAATCAGGAAGAAATCGTCGTTTTCTCTTTAAAAATCTCATTGAATTCTAGCAATTTTCTTCATTGTCTTTGTGGTATAATCCCCGAATATCACTTTAAAAGAGCAGCAACTTAAACAACAAGGATAAACTTTCAGAGAGAATAAAGGATATTTCATTCATCCTTGATTAGACAAAGGTTAAAAAATATGATCACTGAAAATTAGATTTAGTTTGTATCAATAAAGGTAATAAAACCGATTCATATTAACATATTAATTAGTTTGAGAGGCGTGAAACAAAGTTTAAGATGGCCACGCTATGGCGACCTCCATTGTGCAATTAAACTGGCGTACTCACCTTTACAGAAGTTGACTGCATACTCGATATCCGCTAGCTCCCTGATGATAAGGTTCAGGGCGGCCTTGGTGTTCCCTATCCTAGCCAGTAGGTATATACGCTCAGGAGTCATTCCTCGAAGCTCACATTCATCTAGTCAATTATTCTCCTTTTATTTCATTGTACATCTAGCCTTGGATATAGTTTTAAAACGTCAATTTCAAAAAGGCATATTTATTGTTAAATTTTAGAGTGTTTTATCACTAAAATCAAGTAAGTTTTCCATTTTGGCTTTGAGAAAAAGTGATATTCATTCAAAAATTGCAGTTTTATTAAAGAATTAACTGATGTACAATAATAAATAATTTACCTAATGCATCCTGTATTGGATACTGATCCGAAGTTTGTAAAAAGGAGAGGAGTTTCTGTGGTGCATAGTCTGCATACAGCTTTACAAGATGTCCATGGAATACACCTGGGCAATCCTAAACATGTACAGTGTACACTTATGTACTGTAGTACAGTTTTACAAGATGTCCATGGAATACACCTGGGCAATCCTAAACATGTGCAGTGTACACTTATGTACTGTAGTTACAGTTTTACAAGATGTCCATGGAATACACCTGGGCAATCCTATACATGCACAGTGCACACTGTACACTTATGTACTGTAGTTACAGCTTTACTAGGTGTCCATGGAATACAACTGGGCAATCCTAAACATGTTACAGTGTACACTTGTGTACTGTAGTTACAGCTTTACTAGGTGTCCATGGAATACACCTGGGCAATCTTAAACATGCACAGTGTACACTTATGTACTGTAGTTACAGTTTTACAAGGTGTCCACTGTCCAGTGTTCATGGAATACACCTGGGCAATCCTATACATGCACAGTGTACACTTATGTACTGTAGTCACAACTTACAAAGTGTCCACTGTCCAGTGTTCATGGAATACACCTGGGCAATCCTAAACATGCACAGTGTACACTTATGTACTGTAGTTACAGCTTTACTAGGTGTCCATGGAATACACCTGGGCAATCCTAAACATGCACAGTGTACACTTATGTACTGTAGTTACAGTTTTACAAGGTGTCCACTGTCCATGGAATACACCAGGGCAATCCTAAACATGTACAGTGTACACTATTTTACTGTACAGTTACAGCTTTACTAGGTGTCCGTGGAATACACCAGAGCAATCCTAAACATGTACAGTGTACACTATTTTACTGTACAGTTACAGCTTTACTAGGTGTCCATGGAATACACCCAGACAATCTTAAACATGTACAGTGTACACTAGTGTACTGTACAGTACATGTATAGTAAAGTTACAGCTTTACAAGGTGTCTATGAAATACACCTGGGCAAACCTAATAATGTACAGTGTACACTAACATACTGAACAGTACATACATAGTAGAAGTACCCTATTAACTGATCAATAACATACCGAGGTGTGATCAATAAAGTTGACGAAGTCTCAGCCCTGAAATTTTTTTAAAGTTCAAAATATTTTTACCGGATATTTTTTCAAATCAATTGATGTCAATCAGAACTTTGTCGTAATTGTAAAAAGCGTTATCCCAAAGTATATCAGCATCGTTCGTCACAGCAAGAAAATTTTCAGAATGGTCTCAAACTTGATCTAGCTATTAAAATCTGTTTTAGACCCTTTAAGATCGGTCAAAAGAATAGAGAGATCAAGTATTTAATGTAGGAAGGACTTTTAAGGATTTTTCTGGTTTTGATTTAAATTTGAGATTCATAATCAATCTAATCCATTTGGTTCTGTCAGAGACTTTGGGACAAATTCCGCCCAGACGTTTACAACGTTGTTTACAATTTAAAAGCACGTATCAAACTGTCTGGCAAACATACTTCTAGAAGCATTGCTTTAATGTGATTTGAACAATGTTAAATGTTTTTGACCATCTTTGGGGTCTTGATGATCTTTTCCCGCCCGGACATGCCATAATCCTTCAAATATTTTTTTTTCATTCTTAACCGCATTAAAATTAAAATCGGTTTAAAATACGTTCTGGATCATGTTTAAGAGTTCTGTTTGGTTTTTGAAGATCGTCTAATAATAACATTTTTGGACAACCAAGCCTAGTGTTCTCTTTCTCAAAAGAAGCAAATTCACCTTCAGGAGAACACTCTTTACATCACAACAACAATCTGCTTGACGCCAACCTGTACTGTACTGTACTGTACTGTACTGTACTGTACCGTACTGTACCGTACTGTACCGTACTGTACCGTACTGTACTGTACTGTACTGTACTGTACTGTACTGTACTGTACTGTACTGTACTGTACTGTACTGTACTGTACTGTACCTTTCTATCCCTAGTGTAGAGAGCATCTAGATACAAGAACAGCTGTTTCCTCCTGGAAGAGAGAGCTGCTACAACAACTTTACTCGGGATCTCACCCTTAACAAAATATTTGGATTAAATATCTTTAATTCCCTCGTAAAACCAACTGTATTGTTTGGCTGGCCAAATAAGCAATTTAAAAATTCAAGATTATACTTCTTGAAAAGTTGTCTGAATTCCATCGATTTACTATCAACCATCTTCAGAAACAAAAAAATAATATATCTTGAAAACAAAACAAAAAAACAACCTGAAAGTCTAAGAAAAGTTTGAGAGCCTCAGTAGAGTTCAGATCCATGAGGGAGGGGATCTTATCCTGGATAGTTCTGAAGAGCCGATGCTGCCTACATGAAGACGATGATTGATCGATTTTATTAAAATATTTCTTAAGAAACATTTAAAAAGCAGCATACTGCGCAGTTATAAAATTTCAGTCTCGGTTTCAAGAGATTTTGGCCAAAAATGGCGGATTTAATTCCCCAGACTTGGGATTACTCTACTCTCTGAAGCTCTGGTATTGCTCTTCAGAAAATTTTGTAAAGTGCGACCAACAAGTCTAGATTTGACATAATAAGTTGAAGAAGTTTGAAAATAGAAGAGTCTTAATACCTGATAAGTGTGAATACATCTTCATGCTTGAGCTTGAGATAAACCTCCATAGCCTTGTCGTACTTCCTCTGGTAGGAGAATAAGGTTGCCAAGGAGCGAAGTAGAGGCGAGTTCTCAGGTTCCAACCTGGATTCCAGAAATTAATGATTTGCATTAAAAAGAAACAATGTGGGTGATACTTCCTGAATAGGTTCTTACTAACCTGTTCTAAATCTCTTACTACATAATTCTAGTCATCTTCGCAAAAATAAAACAACTTTTTGCCTTCTTGGCCTATTTAATTTTTCCCTATTGAAGGTTTATTTATCTCCAATTCTTCTTAACCTCCCCTCTTTAGCTGATACTTCTTTCTAATACTGTTATTCACGGCATAGCTCTTCTAAACCAGTATTTTATTCTCTACCTTCATCTACATGAACAAGACCTTCATGTCATCGTTATCTCTCATATAGCTTTTAATATAAGTGTTTCTTTAAAAAGTTTCTGACTTCTTCCTTATGACCTTGTTCTACATATGACCTAGTTCTTCAAATCAAATCAAATCAAATCACAAGGGGCGGGGATGACAATGAGCTCCAGTAATGGATTGGAGGATCAAGTCCTTTCCATGTCCTGGTTTTTCAGCCTGGACTTCTTTTTATATTTAGGAAAAAGTTACATCAACCGTTTACTGTAAGGCGCGAAGTTCCTTGTCACATGACCAAATTTGAGCCATGCCTCACTTTTGGACCTCCTCCATGCGAAGTTTACCCCTTAATTGGGCAAAAGTCGCATGGCTGAGGTCTCCCCAGCGAGTGTTTAAATTCAAATGTGAATTTTGAATAGCTAGAATTATGTAGCGTAATATTTAAACTTGTTTAACTAGTAAATTTGCTATTAATGTTTGTCGCTGAAATTAGTTTAAATAATAATTAGTTTGCTACTTAGTTAAGTGTAAGTTCTTGCAAGAGAAGTAACAGGTCTTGTTAAGGAATAATATTTGTTTAATCAAGAACAAGTCTAGTAATATTATAAATGATCATCTAGTTTCAAATATCCTGAAATTTTTGGCTATTTGGTTGATATCTTAATTTGGTGATTTAACTCCATGATAAAGGATATCTCTCGGTTATTTAACCCTAGTTGAACTTCCGCAGGTTTTATAGCTTAATTTTGGTGATTTAACCCTATGATCAGTAGATACTAGTCTTTAATAAGAAGTAGTGTTACCTATTGGGATGAGCAGTGGACAGCTTTTCCCCTTATTTTGGACCACTCCAAGAAGAATCTATCCAGTAGGATGTCTAGGGCCAGGCCCCTGTCCGCTAGATCTGTCCTCCTTAGTGACTTGTCTTGGCCAAGGAATATTCTGCAAGCCTCAAAGTCGTCCCTGCTTTCTATTCTTAGCTTCATTAGAGTTGCTTGTAAGCTATCCCCGTTTAGTAGTTTGATTTCTGATCTTGACTGCTCCATGGATTCGCATTTTATTAGGAGATGAAATTCATCATTAGATGCCATAAAGCAGAGGGGGCATTGAAGTATCCTGCCTCCGTCCTGACAAACTGAGTCCGCTGTTCTGAAGGTGTCCCTGTTACCCAATCCCGCGTTCATTGATCTAAATTTGGTCAGCATCTGCGACCATCTACTGTTTTCTACATGGTTCTGAATAGTCCACCACTTCCTTGGTATAGGGAGCAACTTCAGCATGACCATCTCCTGTATTTGTGATAGAATCTTCAACTCATATACCTGGATTAGCTGCTTTCTCTAAGATCTTCAGGAGAGTCTGCATGATGGCCTAGGATGTCAAAAAGGTTTTTCCTATACTGGTTACCTTGCGTTGTCAGGCACCACTGCATACAAGTTTTAAGGATTTCGCTCCCTTTAAAATCTTCGCAATAGACTCTTTGAAAGAAGCGTAGCTTACTGAGTTCTAGCAGAAGTCTTAGGGGTTTCCATCCAAGTTCAACCTGGACAACTGTGTTAGCGGTGGACTGAGGGACCCCTAACAGGGCTTTCCCTATTTGGTTCTGGACAACTTCCAGCTCCTCAATGACTGTGTTGGAGATTGGAATTGCATCAGTGGCATATAGAATTCCTGGTATAGCGATGTTTTTCCACATAGCTGAAGCTGCGGATATATTGTCCAAGAGGCTGTGTCTTGAACGGAGGATGACATTCTTGTAGCACTTTGCTTTGGACAGCATTGATTCCCCTTTTTTCTGAGATGTCTTCCACATCGAAGAGTACTGCTGCACTCCTAGATATTTATAGTTTGATACGTGTTCAACTATTTCCGACTCCATTGTCTCCGGGTCATGAAGGGCACACTCGAGATCATCCAGAGAAGTGATTATTTTTGTCTTACTGATTGAGATCTTCATTCTAAAGTCCAGGCACCATGTTTCCAGTATATCCTTTAGCTGGTTTAAAGTTTCAGGGCTGTTAGCTATAATGATTATGTCGTCAGCAAATAGAAGTATATTGACGAAGACCCCTGACTCCTCGTTCTTTTCCCTGATGAGGCAGTGGAGATATTATCTAGGAAGTAGTAGTTGGATAGGAAGTCGATGAACTTGGTGCTTACATTGAGTTGTTTCAGTTTTGCTAGGAGGATGTTTCTGTCGACTCTGTCATATGCTTCCTGTAGATCAATAAACATGATGTGGGACAACAACTTCTTGCTCTTATTCATTTCTAGAACAGAGTTTAAGATGAATATATTATCGCTGCAGGTTCTGGACGACCAAAATCCATTCTGCTCCGCTCCTATGATGTCTTCTTTTGCTATCAGGTCCCCTAATCTCTGGGCTAAAATTTTTGTCAACAACTTCGAGATGCAACTTATCAGGGTAATAGGCCTGTAGTTACTAATTTCTGTTTGAGGAGGTTTCTTCAGGACAAGGATTACATCGCCGTCTTTCCAACTTGCTGGTGGAACTCCGCCTATCATGACATTATTAAACATTTGCGTCAGAAATTGTCTTGCCAAGGGACCCGCATGACGCAACATATCGTTAGTTACACTGTCTAGACCTTCTGCCTTATTTGCATCTAACTCCTTTATGTTTCTATTCAATTCCAACGAAATAGGTGCCATCATGTTATCTGAAGCTTCCTGTGAAAATATTTCCTCTGGTGATCCAATCTTAGACATTTCCACCTCTTCTCTCTTTATGTCAGCTAGATTGAATAAAGTATTAAATTTCTTTCTGAAGAATGACTCTATTGTTGCGTTCATTTGATCTTGATTTGAAGATAATCCTGCTCCAGTGATCAGTGCTTCAAAAAATTTTTTCTTCTTCGGCTTGTTGTTTACCAAGTTCCAGAAAAGTCTCTGAGCCTTTACGCCTTTCTTTGCTAACACTGCCTTTATTCTATGCTTCGAGCTGAGGTTCTCATTGTACTCTAGTATTCTGATTGCCTCCAGGATCTGCTTCATATGACCTTGTTCATCATAACCTTGTTCTTCATGACCTAGTTCTTCATGACCTGGTTCTTTATGACCTTGTTCTTCATGACCTAGTTCTTCATGACCTAGTTCTTAATGACCTTGTTCTTCATGACCTAGTTCTTCATGACCTTGTTCATCATAACCTTGTTCTTCATGACCTAGTTCTTCATGACCTAGTTCTTCTTGACCTAGTTCTTAATGACCGTGTTCTTCATAACCTAGTTCTTCATGACCTTGTTCTTAACATGACCTTGTTTATCATGCCTTAATTTAATTGACATACCTCAATTGTTCTAGAACAGCATTTACAACTGCCACAGAATTATAGAGGTCAGTTGACCAGCGTCTAATTAACAGCAGGAAACCTGGACAATGACTAAGTATAAAGATCTGTAACTAGTAGTTCATATAAATTATATTAAATATTTTAGAGTGACATTGATACTTAAATAAAGTTGATACTGATATAATAATTGATCAAATAATTAACTAAACATGCTGGTGCATGGTGGAATACGTAAAAGAATTTCACACTTGAAAAAAAAACTACATAATACTGATATGCAAATACCTTCAACGTCTGTTTTGAGGAAGTCAAAAAGAACCATTTCATAAATAGCAGGATCAAGTTTAAAATCTCCACAAGGCAAATATTCAGCAATGGTCTTCAGTTGTTTCACCTTCGCAAATCTAGAAAAATAAATATCAACTTTGTGCTCCCACTGCTAAAATATTAGAATTTCAATTTAAAATTATGCCTCACCTAAACACCTGTTCTTCCCATCTTCTCTTATCCTTAGCCAGGATTGATGTGCAAAGTTCTCCTGCCAGCTTAAACTCCTTCTCCCGGAGCAGGTGCTCCAGGTATCTTCCTCCAACCTCCTGGAAACTGTGTTTCTTTAAGTACTTCTCCTTCTCCTGTGTGAGTGCCAGAGCCTCCTGGAACCGTTGATGCTGAACCAACCAGTCCACATGATCATCCTCATCCCGTGGTTTACCAACCACCACATCATGAGGACTCATGATGAAGTAGAACTTGTCGTCCACAAGGCACTCAAACTTGTAGTCCTTGGGCTTGTATTCCTCATGCCCTCTGTTTAAACAACCCATAATAAATATTAGAAACATAAAGTCAATGACCATGTCATACCTCTTTCAATTGAACAATCTTTGACTTTTATTTTTTTATCATTAATACCCCTTACCCATTCTAATTTTTTTCAAATTATTTTTTGATTCATACTTATTTACAATTAAAAACTAATATTCTATTGTTTGTAAGTGTTACCTTATGGAGAGTAAATCAGTAGAGACCAGATCATATTGGGTTTCATTCTTCTCAAACACCATTAGCTGGGGACGTTCAGGTCTCCCTGTCTCATCTAGCTCATTAGGGATAGCTAACACTACCACCAGATTATCTAAACCGTTTAATGTAATTAAATTTTATGAATCCAGCTTTCCAAGATTGAATATGCAATAAGTGTTATTCTTATTAAAGAACAACCCTGCAATCAACGAAATAGGGGACAGCGCTTCTAGCCACCGAAAACATATTTGGCCAGTAAAAGCCCTTAGGAGAAGACTTGCAAAAGGTGATTTGTCAGAGACAGTTCTGGAAACTCTTTACTCTGATATGACTAATAATAAAGTAACACTAGCTAAATAAAAAAAATTTATCAGTTTCTTTCTTATAGAATCCCCAAAAAGTAAGTAATTTTATTCTAGAATCTCCTTTAAGTAATATGACTGGATCTGTAAAAACAGAGAATTAATCAAAGCTATGTGAAAAAATACATTCATTCAGGGTAAAATATTTTTTACTGGGAATAGATTATCAAATTTTAAGCCTGGTTCATTGTCAAGCTTATCATGTGCTTACCTAGAGGTGCTATCCCACAGATAGAACAATCAAGAGTAAAGCTAGCATCTACCCTAACCAGATACAGCGGTAAACCTTCCTAAAATTGCATTCTTATTTTAGCGGTAACACAAATTAAAGTTAAGGAATTTAATTCCATTCCACTAAAGTACTGTAACAGTGTAAAATAAGTTTTCTAACCTGAAAAGGTGTCCGTTTCTCAATACAACAAACCTAAAGAACAATTTTTTTTATTGTTAACATTTTTCTGCCCTAACAATTTTTCTTTTGAAAATATGTTCACATTGACTGAACAGTGAACTATCTAGCTTGAATTCTCAAATAATTAAATAGAAGCATAGATGACCTTGACAATGCTACCGAAGGCTACTAGAAGTTTGAACTGATCTCCCCAGCTGATCCTCCAGGGAACTTCAGAATGGGACGGGGCATTCACAGGCTTAGGAACAAGTGAAATTGTGGTTTCTGCCACTACATCAAACACACGGATCCCCTAGAAATGAGCTGGAATCTTGAAATGAACTAAATTGAATTAAGCATTTAGTGGCGAAATTATCTGTCATATTGCCATTTTTTTGTTTAATTCTGTTGTGCTCTTCTTACAATGCTTTTTGAAAAAAAGTAAAATCTAATTAGCTAGTTTGAAAAAATCAACAATTATTCTAAGAAATAATTTTTGGAGCTTTTAATTTCATAAGGATAATCTTTTCTCTAGGGCAGGGAAAAATGGTTTATGAAGAAGGGAGGGCCGGATATTAATTTTTAGCTAGATTTACTTTATCTGTAATCCATGCTGCAAATCTACCGCGCCATCTTATATTATGAACCGGTCCTTCTCCCTGACAGATTACATCCTGCTTATACCTGAACATTTTTTAAAAATATACATTTTATAAACGAGGTGGGAAATCTTGTATTGTGGATATGGTGATCAATACTTGTTCTCAATCTTTTGTTAGTTTACAGGTTTACTCAATGAAAATTGATATTTACAATTCTTCTTTAAGGGGTTTGAACAAATTTTTTAATAAGTTACTAGTAAAACTATTTTCTTTGTGACAACATCTAATAAACATAAGTATGCTATAATGTCACCTTCCTATTCCACAGTTTTCTGGTTCTTACTGCAAACCCCTATTCATTTTTCATGAATACCTCCTTGGAATGAATTTACCTTGAGAGAAAAGTTTTTTCATTGAGAAACAATTTTTCATTGATTGCAGTCATGTATCTTCGTCCAGAGTTTGCCCTAGGTTAAAACGAATATTGTATTTTTTGAAGCACTACAAACTGCCTTGTAAATTTTGAAAACCTTTTTTTTATCATATTCTGCAATAAACAAACATTTTCGCGGATTTTTCTATTAATATTGTTTGAATTAAAAATTCAAAATTTTTCGTATTTTACCGTCTATAAACCTTCTCTTAGGTCATGTGAGTTACCAAAAAAAAATTACGTCCGATTTGTTTAGTCATTTTGACGTTTTTTTTGGATACAATTTTGTAATGGCCAGGGGGAAAGTAATTTAAAAGGAGTGGTTTCATGTGTACATTCGTGTGAGCAAGGAGTCATAATAGATATAGAATAGATACACCAGACGGTCCGCCGAAAAAATAGTTGATCAAAGTTTGTGCATTTGGTATTTTTTTTATGAAGTTCTCTTTTCTTAACTAATTACCTGGCATATATTGGATCAATGGCTATGGATTGTACCGGAGTCTCAAGCTTTAAGTTGTGAGTATTAACTTCTGTGTAAAGACCAGTGATAACAATTCTATCACTCAATCAATCAATCAGTAAAACAAAGCTTTGAATTGATTCAATGAACATGATCAACAATGAAAGAGTTTACACAAAAATACTTTTAGGTGCTGGACTGAGGAAAAACTGATTGCTAATTGCTAAATTACTGATTGTTTTTCAACAGGATCGTTTTTCTAGTTTTATTTATTAGTTGTTTGCTACAGGATTAATTGATTGGTTGCTACAGGCTTTATTGATTGCTACAGGATTGATTGATTAGTTGATAAAGAATTTAATGATTGCTACATGATTAATATAATAATGGTTAAAGGAATTATTGATTGCTATATGATTAATTGATTAGATGCTAAAGGATTTATTAGTTGGTACAAGATTTGTTTATTAATTGCTAGAGGGTTCATTGATTGCTAAATGATTGATTGATTGCCTGCCATCATTGGAACAAGAGGCGTAGAATTCTCCAGCATGATCTATACTCACTTGGTTCACTCCAACTTAACAAATATTAAAAAATCAAATCACTATTCAAATATTAAAATCAATCTAATTAATTAACTTATCAAATATTGTTTAAATTAATTAGGTCAACAAATCAACAAATCACATTATCTATAAAATGCAGATTTAAAATAAACTGATTGTATGAGCTTATCAAATACTCTTTAAGTTGATCAGAAGATTTCATGTTTAAATAAACAACCTGTTATTAAATCTATCAACACATAAACCATTCACTTAAGTTGTGAATATTTAAATCAATTAGTCATATGTATTTTTAAATCTATTAGTGAATTTATACATTTAACAGTCAAATATTTCATTAATCAGAGTTGAAAACTTTAGAATGGGATATTCTTAATCCCGTTCGGTTAATTAATCAGGAGATTAAAAAGAAGAGGAGAACAACCAATTTTTAATCTGGAGATTAGGAAAAAGAGGAGATCAAGCATTAATCTCAATATCCACCATTCTAAAGTTTTCAGCTCAGATTATTATTGATGATCAATTAGAATATAAAGAACTAATGAATCAACTAATTTATCAACCTAATCCATATAATTATAAATTAATACCTGAATGTGATTGACTAGTTTTCGAGGTTAAAGAATTGCCCATAGCGTCTAGTAGATGTATAGTTCCCCATTCTGTTCCTAGAACTAGGAATTTGGAGTGTACTGCCATACAGGTAGCTTTATCCTAAAATTAACAAAATATTTATTACTGCCATACAGGTAGCTTTATCCTAGAATTAACAAAATATGTATTACTGCCATACAGGTAGCTTTATCCTAGAATTAACAAAATATGTATTACTTCCATACAGGTAGCTTTATCCTAGAATTAACAAAATATTTATTACTGCCATACGGGTAGCTTTATCCTAGAATTAACAAAATATTTATTACTTCCATACAGGTAGCTTTATCCTAGAATTAACAAAATATTTATTACTGCCATACGGGTAGCTTTATCCTAGAATTAACAAAATATTTATCACTGCCATACAGGTAGCTTTATCCTAGAATTAACAAAATATTTATATCAAATAATCATTATACTTTACTATTAATTTGCACCTCTTAATATTGTTGCTTTTCATGACACTATTTTTCGTCGTAAATTATAAAATAAATTTGTTTTCGAAGATTTCAGTGTTTTCCTTGGCAGATTTCCAAAAACAATTCTTATTTAATGTTTGTTCATTTTCTTAACTTTCGATCATCGGATAATGCGAGTTTCCAAAAAAAATGAGGTCTAATCGTTATAGCTATTTAAACGTTGATTAGACACTAACAAAGAAGCCGAATATATTTATATGTACTTTAGATACTTAATCTGAATAATTTTTTAGTTTTCAGTTTGGTCTTGAAATTAATTAGATCTAGGTTTTATGTAATTAATTTGAAAAAAATCCTTGTTACAAATATTTTTAATAAGACTTCTAGAACTTCCCTACCAGCTAAATGAACAAAAAGAACGATTAAATTTGACAAAAACATCTAAAAACTAAACAAAATACCTTTTGAAGAATTGATTTAAGATCCGCAGACAATCTTTCATACTTAAGCTTGGGCTCAATCTCCTCATCCTCTTCTTCCTCATCTGATCAATCAATCAATCAATCATTCAGTAAGTAATCAATCAATCAATCTACTTCATGAATCAATCCGGGCATCAGTTCATCCCCTGAGATACTATATTACCCCTAACATTGACTATTTAAAAACGATGTATTTTCATTTGAATAACACATTAGAAAAGTATCGATGGTTTGAATAAATATTTCTTCCTTGTAACTTAGAAATGAAGACGACCCTCGAGAAAAGTTTAAGGGGGATAAAATGATTACGGCCACCGGCTAGAATCAGCTCGAATGGTTGGGAGGCGCTACAGGAGGGACATTGGGAAATTGAACGTTTAGAACTTGACACTAATTCAGAAAATGTACAATGTACATCTGAGAAGTTGTCATTTGACGAATTATAATATTTTTGAAAATAATTTTGGTTAAGTACGGAACATTTTGAATCTTGATCGATTATTTTTTTTTACCTGACTCAGAACTGGAAGATTCTTCTGATGGGCCTCGTGTAAACTTAGACACAGAGCTTCCACATCCTGCAATAATTTATCAATCTTAAAATTTAAAAACTTAAAGGGACTGTAAGTGACCTTTTGAGAAAAAACGTGTCGGATTTCAACTGCACCCTTTTAACCTTTAATTAAATCAATTTTCTTAAGAATCTCTACTGCATAAATCCTGGAATAAAATTCATTAAGAAATCGTAATTGTGAACTTAAAATATAATAATCAAGATAAATGGATAAAAGCAAGGTTGTGAATGTGAATCGGACATGCAGCTCAACAAATTAAGGGTTACTTAAAATTCCGAAACAGCAGCTTTCAGTATTATCCTTGGTGTGCTGAAAAATAAAACTTTCACCGTCATGAAAATGCATCCACTATAACATATTTTAATTTTTTTAAGTGATTTAAGTCTAAAACGACCAAGCTTATATTGCTTGATTCACTTCTAGAAGAGGTCTTTCAAATGCCGAGTTGTCATTAAAAAAAAAATAAACAAGTATTAATGACTTCAAGGAGGCCAAAAATGGGAGACCAAAATTAGAAGTGCCATAAGATTCGAGTTTTATCGAGGCTGAGCCCTGTTTTGTATCAGTACGGACCTGTCTGTTGCGAGGTTTTAACCTCCTGTATCCTTGAGGCTGTTAAAACAGCCTCTACAGTTTGTAAATTCTCTATATACAGAACAGTTTGTATTTTGGAGTGGAAGATATAATCTTTTGAGTGAAAGTTACAAACTTTGAGTGGAAGTTGAAAACTGTATAGTGAAAGTTATAAACTTTTGAATAAAAGCAATAAACTTTTGAATGTCAGCTTCAACCATTTGGTGCTAAGTGATATATAGACACTTGCTAGAGCACTTAAACTAATATTACATATATTTCTGCCGATTTTTATCTAGATTGACGGAAGTAGCGTAGTCTGGGAGACAAGTAGCAGCGGAGTCAGAAAGGAAACTCAAGCCTTTGTATCGGAGGCTTGATTAACCACTAGGATAAGGATGTACCATTGATACACTAGAGAGTAAAATTGAGGGTTTACTCTGCCACTTATTCCAAACCTGGTACATCCTTCATTTATTAGGTTGGAGGAGTAAAATTATATAATAACGATATATAGTATTAACTCTTCTTTATCCCAGGATAGAGTAGAAGTTTAGACTTTTTACTAAGTCTATTATTGGGGTGGGTTAGTTCAGATCTATCTCCGGATATTTCTCTACTGACTTTCACTTTTTGTTTAAATGGCCTAGAAAAAAAATATAGAAAAAGAAGTAAATAGAAACCAAAAAAAAGATAAAAAAACAAAAAAGAAAGAAAGAAAAGAAAGAAAAAAAAAAGAAGAAAAAAAATATTTTGATCTTAAAGGCCAAGGAAAAAAAAGAAAAGAAAAGAAAAAAAAATAGAAAGAAAAAATAAAGATCACTAAAATAAAAAGAGCACAAAAGAAAAAGAAAAAAATAGAGAGATAAAAAAAAATTTTTAAGAAAAAGTGCCACAACTAGTTTATATATATTTTTGTAACTGATTTGTAAAATTGGGCGTTTTTCAGTGAAGTCATATAGTAGCTGAAATTCAATAAAGTCCTGCCGCCGGGACTTTATTTTTGTCCATAGTATTAGTATACTCAGCAGATATTAACATGCCGCCTAAAGTTGCTTTCCCATGCCCCACTTGTGGAAAAAATGTAACCAAAAAAACTGGGGGAGTAAGATGCTGTTATTGTGAGCACTGGAGCCATGCTAAATGTGTGGATGTCTCTAGTGAGCATCTCAAATTCCTGGAAATGCCGGGAAATAGTTGGACCTGCAAGACTTGCAGAGCAGTCTCAAAGAAAGTGAGGGAGGAGGTACAACAACTTCACCTGAAAGTCAAGGACATGAGGGAAGACATTGATGAGAACAAGGAGGAGATCAGCAACCAGGGTAGGAGACTGAGCCGCGCTGAAAAAAAGATAGATGACTTCTGCAGTGTTGAAAGCAACAATGACGTGGTATTTGACGAACTCCGTGAGCGCGAAGCCCGGAAAAAGAATCTGGTAATACACCAGATAGCTGAACCATCAGAATCATTAGACAGAGGTGGTCAGCGTAAGGAGCATGATATTCAGAAGGTCTTAGACATCTTTGATTATCTCCGGGTACCAGTAAGAAAGGAGGGTATCAAGTTCATATACAGAGCAGGAGAAAAACCGGAAAATGGCAAACCCAGACCAGTCATATTATCCTTGAAGAACATAGCTGAGAGGGATGCCATCATGGACTCAGCCAGGAACCTTGCCAACTCAAACTTCAACCACATCAGCATAGTGCCTGATCTCACTCAGAGACAAAGAAAAGATGAGGAAAGGCTGAGGAAAGAAGCTGAGAGAAGGAACGCAGAAATGGGAAGAGAAGAGGCTCAGAACTGGGAATGGGTTCTTGTTGGTACAAGGGGGGAAAGGAGAATGATAAAAAGGAAGATGTTCATCCAAGACAGGAGAAACACATACAATGGAGATAGATCCACCCAGGGACACAGGGGCCCAGGCTTTAGACGGAATCTCAATGGCCCAGTCCTCACTGGAGCTTACTCAGTGCAGCTCAACAGAACATCCCAAGCATCCCAGAATACCGGAAGTTCATCCAAACAAAGTTTTCCAACCAGGGATGATAACAGTCTGACCAGGGATGACAGAAATGTGAGGTTTTCAAATATCAGAGATCATCCAACTCAACGAGCCCCAACTGAGGCTCACCATGGTTCAAATGTGGCTCGCCAGGGGGCTGCCACCCCACCCTCTCCAACAGTTATGATGCCACAATCTTTTGCTGATGAGGGAGGTCAGGAGGGGGTAGAGACAGGGGATTCGGGTGAAGGGGGTGAAGTGGAGACAAGAGATGATTTTAATGATTTGACTACGAGTACTCTTAGAGAAACGGATGTTTTACCATCATCAGACGAAGACGACATTGACGAAAACTCTCAACAACTCCCCAAGGAGGACGGTGCAGAACAGGGGAACAGGAAGAGACATGCTTCCAAAAGTCCACCAGCTCAGAGCCAGAAAAAGAAACCAACCAAGAAGTAGTAAAAATAATATATTTAAATGCTAGAAGTATCCTAAATAAAATTAATGATTTAGAAGTGTTATTAAATGAGCAAGAACCTGACTTCGTATTGATAGCAGAAACCTGGTTAAATGATGACACTAACACGGCTATGTTAAATATTGAAGGATACTATATTGATCCTGATTTGAGATTAGATAGAAAAGATACCTTGAATGGGATTGGGGGAGGATTAATTGTTTACATTAAGGAAGGCCTAATTGTGAAACCAACATCAGCTGAGAGTAACTTTAATCAATTTGTTCAATTTGAAGTTGTCAACAAAGACGATATCTGTACAACTCGGAATCTTAATATTACGCTGATATATCGTCCTCCTAGTTCCAGAGATGAAAACACTGATGAGCTATGCAAACTAATTAGTACTGCTGGCAAGAATTCAATCTTTATTGGCGATTTTAATTTCCCGGGAATTAATTGGGAATTTGAAACATCGGACAGAAAAGGTGCAAGTTTCCTCAAAAGCACCAAGGATAATTATCTCGAGCAACTAATCGACTTCAAAACTCATATTCGTGGCAATACTCTTGATTTGTTATTTACCAATCAGCCGGACAAAATTATAAACATTGAAGCACTTGGCAACCTTGGAAATAGTGATCACTCTATCATTCTTTGTGAACTTGAATATAATTCACAATTTAATATTTCTACAGAGAAAATATATAATTGGAAAAATGCAGACTTTGGCGGACTGTCAGAGTTTCTTCAAAATGTCGACTGGGAACGTGAACTTAACGGGACTCCCACGGATGAAGCATGGAATTTTCTAAAAGGTAAAATCTTATCAGGAATGGACATTTTTGTACCAAAAATTTCCCGACGTACTAAGAACTCCCCCAGATGGATGACCACACTTGTAAAACGACTTATTAGAAGAAAACAGAGATTTTATAATACATTCATGGAAACTAGACAACCGGAAGATGAGGCAAAGTTTAAAAAAACACAGAAAGAGTGTAAAAAAGCTGTAAGGCAAGCTAAACGTAAATTTGAGCAAAAAATTGCCCAAAATGGAAATAAAAGGCCTTTTGTTGCGTATATTAAAAGTAAAACAAAATCAAGATCTGGAGTTGGTCCACTCAAGGTTGATAACAAGATAATTAGCGGCGACAAAGACATGGCTACAGAACTAAATAAAGCTTTTTGCAGTGTTTTTACTAAAGAAAATGATCAAAACCGTCCAACGTGCCAAGTTTTACAAGACTCTTCAGTCGTAAGTGAGATTTATTTTACAGCAGGAATGGTGGCGGAAAAAATCAACAAACTCAAATCTACATCTGCACCTGGCCCGGACAAAATCTCAGCCAGATTTTTAAAAGAATATGTTAACGTTATTTCATACCCTCTCTCGTTACTATTTGAAAGTTCAATGAGATCGGGAATTGTCCCCCAGGACTGGCGCCTTGCCAATGTTACACCAATTTTCAAGAAAGGATCTAAAAGTAAACCAGAAAATTATCGACCGGTTTCATTGACCTCTATATGCTGCAAACTGATGGAATCTATCATTAGAGATCAACTGGTTAATCACCTAAAATTTAATAACCTAATAAAGTCGTCTCAGCATGGATTCATGAAAAACAAGAGCTGCACCACTAATCTTCTCGAATTCTTAGACAGGGTTACCACGCTGATTGAAGATGGTGACAGCGTTGACGTAATTTACCTAGATTTCAGCAAGGCATTTGACAAGGTGCCTATAAATCGTCTTCTGGATAAAATCAAGGCTCACAATATCAGGGGCAACGTCCACAAATGGATCACAGAGTGGCTGAGTGGAAGGATGCAACGTACGGTTCTAAATGGGTCATTCTCTGAATGGTGTGAAGTCCTGTCAGGGGTACCCCAGGGGTCGGTACTGGGCCCCCTAGCATTTATTATATTTATAAATGATCTGGATGCTGAAACCTCTCTTATTTCCATTATGAATAAGTTTGCCGACGACACAAAATTGGGTCATAAGGTAAACAATGACACTGATAAAGAAGTTCTACAAAATGCACTTGATAATCTCTGTATGTGGTCAGATAGATGGTGTATGGAGTTTAATGTCAAAAAGTGTAAAGTTATGCACCTTGGTAAAAAGAATAAGGATTATGAGTACTACATGAAGGGATCTGTACTTTCATCAGTTAACCAAGAACGAGATATTGGTGTGCTGGTTGAGAGCAGTCTTAAACCATCCTTACAGTGTGCTGAAGCATCTAGAAAAGCGTCAGTAGTTTTAGGGCAAATTACAAGGGCCTTTCTATACAGGGACCGATTTATATTCCTGAAACTATATGTCCAATTTGTTCGGTGTCATCTGGAATTTGCATCCCCAGTATGGTCACCCTGGCATATCGGGGACATTGAGATCCTAGAGAAGGTTCAAAGACGTGCAGTGAACTTCATCACAGGTTTAAAGGGTGTGACTTACGAGGACAAACTTAAAGAACTCGGGATTCTTTCCCTAGTCGATAGAAGGTCCAGAGCTGACCTCATCCAGGTCTTTAAGATCCTGAAAGGTATCGACGATGTTGACAGCTCTACTTGGTTTACATTAGTTGGCCAGGAACCTCAAAGAGTAACCAGGAATACCAGTTACCATGGAAACCTTGTAGCAACCAGGTCAAAATCTGACATCAGACTTAACTTTTTCACAAACAGAGTTGTCTCCAGATGGAATGGGCTCCCGACAGACATCAAGGACTCCAGAACTTTAAACATTTTCAAATCAAAACTTGACGAAATGTTCAAATAACTGGACCCCTATACTTGTGTTTTTGAGAAGTGTGCATGGATAGCTAAACGCAGACGAGAACCAGGCAGACCAGAACACTACTCTGGAGGACATGGACTGATATTCCTACCATACTCCTACCTGGAGTCCTTGGAATTCCATCACAAGTAAACAAGTAAGTAAACAAGTAAGATTAAAATTGTGAAATAAAGATTATGGAACTTGGACGACGATATGTCCCACGAAACGTGACAGTTGCAAGACGATTAAATGCCACAAACAAAGGCGACTTTCGAGTCGTTTTTCTACTGTCAAGCTTCGTGGGACACCCTGTAACTGATGAAAAGTTACCTATAGAAGACAGGGAATCTTCACCAACCTCAAACTCTGACATTTTCTCTGGAAAATTATAAAAATGTACATCAGATTTCTAAGGGGGGGGGATTGCATGAGAAAGGGTGGAGTCGTTGTAATTCTTTTAAAATATAACATAATTGTGCGATCTCAATATTTAGGTTCTAAGAATTTATAAATCTTATTTTAATTCTGAAAACTGAAAAGAAAAAATTTTTAATGTAGAAATATTTAAATACTATGTTATGAATTGCTAAACAGCGTCTAGATACAAAATATGAGTCACTGGTTCATTTTCTTTATGTTAATGTCGATTGTGCATTATTTCTATCAATTGGTTCATATTAAATGATATTAAAGATAGGGGCAATAAAGTCTGATTTTTATCAAGTAAATATCCTCGGTAAAGCGTTTAATTTGAAATTACGGAATTTAGACTCAGGATTGAGCTTTTTAATCGTGAAAATCAGATGAAAAACATATAGTTTCTATCTTTTTCATTTTAAGAGTTTAAATGTTACCTTAGCTATTACTATTCCTAAAAGATTAGCAAAAATAAGGATATAATTACTATTGGTTTTCAACTAAAAACAAATCTTATTGGGCGTTTTTACCGGATTTGATCAGTTTTATGTGTTAAAAACTCAGCTCTAAATGGGCAATACGTATTCAAAGAAAATAAAGACCCCCCCCCCCACACGTTTTCCTTTTATTTGCTTACTTTGCGAATCTACACACTATTCCAGTCAAATGATGAGCTAATGAGAACTTATAGAGTTGGTGGGTCAATGCCAACCTGCTTTAATTTATTATTAATTTATCAATGTGCGTTCTTCACTTAAAAAATACAGTTAAGGGAAGTTTAGGCAGTGGCGACAAGCGCCAAAATTTTCATAAACGTATTATCAAAACTAGTTTGACTCCTGGCGAGTTTATAGAAAATATCCAGCTTTTTTAAAAAAAATGATGATTGTACAATTTACAAATTGAGTTGTACACTGAACAGAATAAAGAAATGTACAACAAGTAATGTACTGCATGTAAACAAGTGGACCACAGAGTAATAGAACTTACAACAATAAAGGCACCGTTACATAACAATTATGTAAAGTAATGTATGTAAATGTATATAAATACAAATATATATTTTCTTCAACTATTGATTTATATCCAAGGCAAGAAGAATATGGAGTGTTCGAGACCAATGTCTGAAAATGATATGATTTGTGCAAAATATTTCGCAAATGTGAAAGTTAAATAACTTGGAAGAAGCTATCGGCAGAGAAGGAAAGGGTAGGCGGGAATCTAAAGGGATTGTCCGTTAATTTTGAAATGTGTCGGCAAAATAAGAGTCAAATCCAATGTTTGATCACGATAAATTTAGAAAAGATATTCACAATGGATCCAAAAATGAAGATGAGAAAACTGGAATTTTGGTTGTTAACGAAACATTTTTGAGATAAGAACATTTTCGAAGATCAAAATTAATGAATTGGGGAGGTCGCTGAACCTTCTACAGTCGTTAGAATCCTAAATATTTAAAATCACAGATTTAACTCCTTATCCTCAAATTCTTCTTTTTAAATCGGTGATTCAGGATTTGAACCAGCGATGGTTATTCAGCAACCTAGTTCAACATCATTAAATTCGATCACAGAACTATTTCGGATGGTTTTTTTCTCAAATTAAATGATCGGATTAAAATCATAATTCATCCATTTACAGTTGACACATTTCAAAATAAATCTATTATTCCGTCCAAGGCCAGGAATAGGATATGCAAATCTTCTTGTGTATGCAAGGATGGGAATAAAGTCGATACAAAAATGAGCGTTTTCTCTCAGTTTAATCCCTCAACCTTGCGTGACCTCTTCTGCAAGTGCACTTGAACAGCTGCTGCGTGACTTGGGTGTCCGGATAGCTGACCTGGACCGTACTTCCGGTCATCTTGGCGCCGTACCAACCCTCCTCCATATCCATATCCTGGGTCATTCCGCCGTGGTAGAACTTGACGTAGCGAGCTCCGACACCATAGCGGGAGAAGGTGTGAGATATTCTCCGCCAACGGTCATCTTCGGTTCGGTCAATATTTTCCCTGAAAACAGAAATACAACCAATGAAAGGAAAGTGGTGATTTTTAGCATATGTGCTGATACATCCCCCCCCCCTCTCCCATATTTCCTTTCTGAAACATCCCGTGACTTAAGCATGTTTAATCGATCAAACCTTTTTAAACTGGAATATTTACCTAAAACTGAAATGCTTGCCCAGAACATTTCCACAACCATCGAGGATACATACATTGAGTTCATAGATTGCTCCGTGACCCGGGGACTTGGTGTACCAGTCTGATATCCGGATATCCGGTTGGAACTGATCAAGGATCCGAGACGGAAAACATAGATGAACAATCTGTTCCTGAAAAAAATAAACGAAGCTATAGATAAGATATCTGCGAATTGACAAAAAAATTCAATTAAAATAAGAAATCTGGTACACGTGTAGTCGTGTACACAGGAAAATAAACTTAGAATTTGAAAACATATATTGCCTTATCTTATTTAGCACTAGCTTAGGAACCCAGCGTTGCCCGGGTTACTCAAAGTTACTTCCACCGTTTACCCGCGGTTGGTCTTTGATTACGATTATAGCTATTTTTCCCTGTTAAAGTCGACACACTCAACTTAGAATCCCAAAACAATCAAAATTTAGGGCAAATCGGTCACGGAGTTCCTGAGTAATAAAAATAATCGGACATATACAAACAAGCAGAGATTACTACTTTATATATATAGATACTGTTGGCTGGCGTAGAAAGTTCAAATGCAGGTTCCGATGAAAAACTATATATTGAAAAAAATCTATATTTTTTCAAGTTTGAAGACAGATGTGACAAACTAAAGAAAAAAAGATTTCTGGCTTACCTTAGTGCAGGAATTATAGGAAGTAGAAAAACAGGCATTCCGCGTCAAGCCTTTTAGATTTGTGTCATTTCCAAGCATTTCCAGGGTCCACCCCTGTCCACCTTAACATAGAAAATGTAGGATTAGTATCTATCTAGATGTAAGACTGTTGGGGATATCTACCAGAAGATAAGACCGTCTAATGAGGATATCTACCTGAAGATAAGACCGTCCAATGAGGATATATATCTACCTGAAGATAAAACCGTCCAGTGAGGATATCTACCTGAAGATAAGACCGTTCAATGAGGATATCTTCCTGAAGATAAGACCGTTCAATGATGATATCTACCTGAAGATAAGACCGTCCAATGAGGATATCTACCTGAAGATAAGATCGTCCACTAAGGATATCTACCAAAGAATAAGACCGTCTATTGAGGATATCTATCTGAAGATAAGACCTTCCAATGAGGATATCTACCTGAGAATAGACCGTCCAGTGAATTTACCTAAAGATAAGACCGTCCAATGAGGGAAACTACTTTAAGATAAGACCGTTAAATAAAGATATTTACCTGAAGATAAGACCGTCCAATGAGGATAGTCAGGCCAGGGTGAGTCCAAGTCCTCGGCATTATTTTCTAATTCTATCGCTTGATGGATTGTTAAGACCTGAACAAACCAAAATCTTCAATCTTTTTTAGTTTTTAAATGAATATTAACACTGGAAAATTGTACATCAAAGCTTCAAAATCCTAGGTTTCATATCACACATTTCATCTATTTAATAGTTTTTAATCAAAATTTATCTATTTTCACCTAAAATTCAGCGAAATAAAAAACTTTATTTGCGCACGGCGTAGACATACATATTAAAGTTTCGGGGAAAATTCTAAATGAGGGGGGAATGATTTTTCAAGAAAATAAATACCCCTGGAGTAAAACCAAAAAACTAGGACTGTAGGAGTAGAAGAAGAAATTAAAGACGAGAATCTAACACGGAGTGTAACACTATGAAAACAATACAAAGTGAAATTCTTTTTCTTTTTCATGCATACCTCTACTTCCTCTCCACAACCGTTCTGTATCAAGTTTGTTTCGTAATGATTACATCGAGACAATGAAGCATAGAATCGCCAACCTAGAGAAATTAGCGATCAATCAATCAATCAATCAATCAATTCAAACAATCAATGAACTCAATTCAATTATCGAAAATTTTCTTTTACCAACTCTTGTCCATTTTGATATTTTAATTAATTTTATTGTTAAAAAAATATAAATAAAGAATAATTTATTTTAGTAATTTTTATTAGCGTTTATTGAATACAGTTGAATTAATAAGTTGAGTTTGATTGAAATAATAGTTTTTATTTTTTCCTAATAATATTCTTTATTGCAAAGAAGAATCGAATAAATCCAAGTTTAAAGTAAACATAATAATAATTGATTGTACTTAAAGTGGGGCATATCCGAATCCCAACAGTACCATTAAAAGCTTTGCCTGCTCAAGAATTATTAAAATTAATTATTTTTACTTTTTTCCAATAAAAGGCACTTGCAGATTTCCAATGAATAAAAAAAACGATCGTTGTGAATAGGAAATGCCACTCTTTGTAGTACAAGTCAGTTGAAATTTCAACCAGTCTGTTTATGATGATTTACGTTACCTAGCTCCGGGTTTAAGAGAATGTTTCTAGGAATATCTATTCTATCATGGGTCAACTTATTCTTCCAGAATGTTGGATTATGGATAATTTGTCGCCAGGTTCTAGATACGCGAGACACCTTTTCGAATAATATATTGTTCACAACTAATACACTAAAAAATTGTCCAAAGTTTTAACAACCAGTCTCGTTGCAAAATGAGAACGAGAATGAACGATAAGAAGAAGAAAATAGGATGAGGGTGAAAAGATACTACGGGGAACTAGAAATTTAACGACAAAGTACTACTGTGGTTTTCCGTCTATTTAAATATAGTTTTTCAGGACGTTACGGACAGTTATGGTAGATTCGTGTAATAAGATTTTGGTATCCTATTCCTAGCCACAAAGCTCTCGCCCCTAGCCTGTCCTAGCAGCAGGGCTCGGTCCAGATGTTGCCTTAACCTAACATAACCCTGAAATAATGCCAAATAAATAATAAGTTTAGGTTGCAAAAATAGTTTAAATCCCGCGTACAATAATGTAAGGGAGGACGGTGGCAGCGGGGAGGGGGTTGGTCCAACCAGGTTCTACGCGACTTTAAGAGTTTTATTGCGGCATTTGAGCTCAATACAGGTTTATTCATAAGAAATAAGACTTAATACGACGAATGTAACTTAAATAAGTTTTTTGGCTGAATACACAATACAGTATACAGCTGGTGTACTTATAATTCGTGAGAACCAGAAAAATTTGGAATAGGAAGACGACCTTAAAGCAATAATCAAAGTATTTGGGTAATTTCCTTAAGATCGATTTTTGGACCTCCCAATATTATTGTCTGTACACAGTTTTCTGAAATATTCCAGTAAAGCAATAATTAATTAAATCTTGTCTTAGGAACTCTAAAATGCCCTGCAAATATTTAGTTTCCGACAAATATATTCGCCATCGTCATTCGTCACTTATTTGCACCTTCAAAATCGACAGAGATATTCAGAAAATGTGTAATATCTCCTTCAATTTGAAGATACAAAGAAGGCAGACCACAGTTATAAAAGCTCGTCAGTCATAATTTTGATCACAATTTTTGATTTCTATCACGTTTCAGAGAGATCATAAAAAATTAAATTATTTTCTTGAACTAAAAAAGTTAATGAAGTTAAAAGACAAAACCAATTTAATCCTGAATTGAACAATTAATGTTCAATTTCTTAGCTAAATTTTCTCGTGTTAGTCTATAATCAATTATCATTCATAGTCCATAAATTCTCTATCTTTAAATAAGCCTTAGTTTCCCCACCGTGTGCAGCTAATGAACTTAAATGCAGGATGGCTGAGAGGGGAGGGGGAGAGGGCCGTTTTGTCGTTTTCCTGAAGTTTACCAAACTTCGTTGTCTTTTATGTTGATATAAGTTTTAACTTTTGAGTTTATTTGAATTGAAACTTTTACATATTGTCAAATACCACATGTAACACTTAATGTAAACATTTAATTTTACTTCATTGTAAAAAGTCTACATTATGCAATTTATTTACATGAGATTACATTGGTTTTTTTATAATCACATTAATTTTCGTGAAGTAAAGTAAATTATTTCTTCAAAAATATAGCTTTTCAATGGTCACAATATTTTAGTCACAACATGAAAAATAATATTTTGGTCCAACTCAGATTACAATAATCTTGTTGACAACATTTCTAACTTATAATCATGGGCACCATGACGTGGATATTAATTAAACTGGAATTTTCATGTCGTCTTGGCACAGTTGTACTGTTTTCCCATTTTCCAGAAAGCTCAACATGTTTCTAAACAAAATAAATTAAATACATATAAAAAAAACAGAAAAAAAACGAGAGAGAAAAAGACTTTAATTAAACAATAGGAGTAGAAATCGAAAACACAAACAAAATGTAAATAAAAAAGTAATAACAATCAAACAAGCTAGATGCCCAATATTTTTTACATTTTATGTCGTCGTTATATGTTTAATAATTTAAAAAAACCGATTCTGAAAACATATCCACCCCCAAAGTAGGAGTTTTTAACGTCGAATTTGCGCTCAAACTCAGGATTTGCAGATCTTTAAAAAGTTAAATAAGTCTCAAATGAATCAGAACGAAGTTTTCCACAACACTGTATACTCAGTTCAACTACCTTACATAACCGGTCACTCCCTTTAAATGATAATTTGACAAACCTGAAAGGTTTGTACTCTCTGACAAGTGTCTGTAAACAACCAACAATCACAAGCTTAGAGCGTGCACGCGTAATTGCAACGTTAAGTCTACGTTCATCGTTGAGGATATGTCCTGCACTAATTTTCTCCTTTTCTCCTAAAAATTAGATTTTAATTTTAAAAAGTTTTAATTTGTTCAGGAGCGTACGGGGGCGACAACCCTGTGTACCCCCTAGACATTCCCCTCTAGGCCCCCCAACTATTAAACTTCTTGTCTTATCAATTGACAATTTGTCCATTTTATGATAATTTCTCAAATTCTTACATAGGACCTTAATCTTATTTTCAGGGTTTTATTTACAATCTATATCTAAGTACAAGTTTGACCCAGAGTTCAGGAGAGTATTATTTAATTAGCTAAAGTTTACAGGGTTGGGAAATGGGGGAGTAAGGTTGGATTTTTGAGGGAGTAGTTGCCCAGTGGGAACAGATAATTTAATGAGGTATTTTCTGACTTTTACTAAATACCGATAGCCACCATTTAAAACCAGACTTTTAAACTAACTGCCTGAGTCATCAGGCACACTGTCTAAAGGACTACTTTTTCCTGTAACAAACTAAATCTTTCTTTTGACCCACTTGCAGTTGTCAGATTTTGATAATTTTCAGCTTTTATAAAGCCTTTGACATAAGGAAACGGATTGCACTAGTTTTGCAAATAAAATTTTTCAAATTATTTGCATGCAATCCGAGAAAAGAAATGAGCACACTCTTCGTTTTTCTTAATTACACATCTGGTTATTTAAAGTTTTGCAAACATCTTTACATATTACATATGACACGGTCAGTGCTTTTCAAAAATTTATATTTTATCATTTATTAGACATTGTTTTTTCTTTCAATTTTTGCAAATTTGTTAATTTTAAGCAGATTCTTAAAGTAGAAAATAAGAGCTTTCGAATGATGTATCATTTGTCATATTTGGACATCAAACATGACATTTAGAGGAGTGGGGGGTCATCTAAGATAGCCCATAAACTTTTTTTAATTTAAGCTTCAGATCTTAAAATTAAAGTTTTGAAAAGTTCTTGAAAAATGGATTTAAAAATAGGGTGAATATTGAGGTTAAACTGAATTTTTTTCTTAATGCCAGTTTCTTGACCAACGACCGCTAGGGGGGTGAACCCAAAAGAAAAATCGACATAAGTTCACCCTTCTAGGCTAACCCTCCGTACGACCCTGATTTTGTTATGTTAGTACGTACAGTCTAATGTAGTATACAGTACAGTTCCTCTCCTACCTGAGTTGATGAAACTTCTAGTACACGAGTAAATAACTAATTCACTATCTCGTCCCTAAATAGAACCATAAATTAGACAAAAAAAAGAACGATATTCCAAACTGCATGGAATTAATGGCCAACTCAAATTTTGATGTTTAAAATGTATAAAAAATCTTTGGAAACTGTAATAATTTTGTACATGTAGTATGTACTATTGATTGTTTGGAAACTGTGATAATTTTTTACATGTACTACATAGTATGTACTATTGATTGTTTGGAAACTGTGATAATATTTTACATGTACTACATAGTATGTACTATTGATTGTTTGGAAACTGTGATAATATTTTACATGTACTACATAGTATGTACTATTGATTGTTTGGAAACTGTGATAATATTTTACATGTACTACATAGTATGTACTATTGATTGTTTGGAAACTGTGATAATATTTTACATGTACTACATAGTATGTACTATTGATTGTTTGGAAACTGTGATAATTTTTACATGCACTACATCGTATGTAATATCAAGATTGTGAACATAAAAGGAAAACCTGAAATTGATCGACAGTACCAACTTCGACACAAAATCCAGCCTTTTTCATCACAACCTGAGATGGAATTTAAAGAATTTGAGCTGCGGTTTAAATCCGCCAAAATCCGCCAAACCCCGGTTTAAATTTAGCGCCGGCTTAAATCTTGAAACATTAAAGGCAAGTTTTTTCATAATTTTTTATACTTTTCACCCAAAAATTAGTTTATTTTGCCTTTTTTTCAAAAGAGGGGAGGGTTATGATTTTCAGGAACATATACACCCCCGTAAAGATTAGTTGGATAATGAAGTTATCATTCAATTCATCAAAAAAATTATTTTCATAAGTTTCTTTGGAGTGTTTTTGCTTTGAGTGACAAATATATGTTATTTTTCTAATTACGACATTATTATTAATTTTAATGAGTTTATAACAAATATTTAACTAGATTGGGAACCCAGCTTTGACTGTAAACTTAAGTTTTCTATTTTAATGTCAACACACTGAAGTTAGTTCTTTTGAAATTGAACCAAACTAAAAACATTTCTTTGAAGGGGTTCCGGTGTTATAATCGGACATACAAGCAAGCAAACAGATAGAAAAATACTACTACTAATTAGTTAATTCTAATAACCTGAAGATGTTTTACTTGCGCAGCATATGGCGCTATAACCGCTATTTCAGTCTCATCCAGCCCACCGCGACGAGCCTAACAATAGGTTAATGTATGCAATCATTGATTAGTTATTAATTGACTCAAAGAGACTGTGAGCGTAACTTTAAATGACCCTCCAAGCAAAAATGTCCGATTCACAACAGTACTCTTGAAACCTTATTTTCATGGTCAAAAGTGTTAAATTCTGAAAATGTCAATGTTTTCCTGCAGCAGAAATGCGCAAATCAAAATTGAAAATAATCTGTTTTTAAAATTATGAAGATTGATATCCATTTAATACTTAATTAGACAAAGCTTTTAAAGGTACTGTTGTGAATGGGGCATTTCCATCTTTGCATGGAGGTCACTCTAAATTAAGCATACAGTCCCTTTAAGTGTCGTAGATGTCATTTTAATATAATTGATTCCTACCTCTCCAACTAACTGGAGCACGATGTGTCCCTCCATGATGTTCCTGACCCCTCCTGGCAACGGCTCCTCCCTGGCCTCCATGTGTGTGTCTAGAAAGACAACGGACTCCTCTTGCTTCTGGCTCAGGGCTGCACTGAGCCAAGGTTTAACCCCAGATTCAAGGTTCAGTTTGAGATTACGCTGAGCCACGCTTTCATCAGCACATTCCAACTTTCCCTGATTAAAGATCAAGTATAAAGTACAAAATAGCCCTTGAGATACTATCAAATCTTGGAAAGTTATAAATATAATTTTACTTTACAGAACATTAAAATCTAAAAAAAGATTTTTCTTTGAAGCTCGTTTATTTCCACAAAGTTTTTTTTTTTTAAATTATGCTTATTTTTATATTACTTTAGATAACAACATAGGGTAATGCTCCTAAATTAATACTAAGCGCCGAACCACTTACCCCCCTCTTTAGAATAGGAGGGCAGGGGGTGGGGATGTCAGCATGGGCAGTGGGGCATCCCCCCATGTGGTCTAGCCCGAGCATCATACATCCATTAACCATGACAACTAACCAGGCCAACACAAACATGGCTGGTATCATTAGCTGCGTGGTTTTAGCGTTGCCATAATAGATAAGTGAAGGTCAAACTTCCTGATTGAATAATCATTGCGTTAGATAGGCTCTTCAATAATATTAAAATATTAATTTATAGGGACTTTGTCTGAGCTAAAATTAAGTTCAGGTATAGATAGAACTAGAAATAAACTGACATTGAATTCTCCCTCCCCCCTCCAATAACCCCAGTACCTTGTACGTGAGATGGTTGGCTAGGTCAGCAATAGTTTGATTCATCCTATATTGTATATTCAGATCTATAGTAGCTGCCGGGCAGTCTAGTCTCTCAAACAGGGACTGAGCTAAGCCTACATAGAATTGTTAAATAAATTGACGTTAAGAAGGGAAAGACAGTAAAATTAACAAGAGGTTAAGTTTATAAGAGGTCTAGTTAACAAGAGGTTAAGTTAACAAGAGGTTAAGTTAACAAGAGGTTAAATAAACGAAGTTAACAAGAGATTAAATAATAAGATGTCTAGTTAACAAGAGGTTAAGTTAATAAGAGGTCTAGTTAACAAGAGGTTCAGTTAATAAGAGGTTAACTCCACAAGCGGTTAAGTTAATAAGAGGGTTGGTTAACAAGAGGTTTAGTTAACAAGAGGTTAAGTTAACAAGAGGTTAAATAAACGAGAGGTTAAGTTAACAAGAGGCTTAGTTACCAAGAGGTTAAGTTAACAAGAGATTAAATAAACGAGAGGTTTAGTTAACAAGATGTTTAGTTAACAAGAGGTAAAGTTAACAAGAGGTTAAATAAACGAGAGGTTAAGTTTACAAGAGGTTTAGTTCACAAGAGTTTAAGTTAGTTAACATCAAAAAGAACATGTTTTATGATCCTAAATCATGGTTTTTAACAATCCATAATTATATTTTATTCCAGAACTTTTTATTTTTTAATCTCAGGATCAATCATTGATCTCAATTTGCACATTAATTTTATTCTTGTTCGATATCCCGCATGGTAACTGAAATCAAGAGATTAAGCTTTGATCCTAAAAAATTAAAAGTGCCGGAAGTCGATTTCCCAGCTCTTGTAATACTTTTACAATAAAATTCTCATGAAATAAAGCTGTGATGGAAGTATGTCAGACTTATGTGCGACGTTTTAATTGTGTGTCCTTAATACTACTAAACCTCCTAAATAGTGAGTTTTTAATATTCCGCCGTTATTGTGCGTCTTCACTTTGTGTGCGTTCTGTTTTGCACAGTGAATTTTAACAAATGTGCCCAGCGAGGGAGGGAACCCTCGAACGCCATGAGCCTCCGAAATGTATGGACACGAGCCTCCCAGATTGACTAGACAGACCAAGCCTCAGCTATGCAGTAATGAGCATGCGCAATACATCAAAATGTGCCAGTGTATTGCAGGAGGTTTTTTTAACTTGTGTTTCAAGTTTAAGTAAAAGATTTTTTTTACAAATTTTGTGGCATGACAGGTTTCTCAAAGATGAGAAGTATTTAATAATTATCATAAATAATATCTAAATATGACTAATAAAGTGATGTATAAAACGCGGAAAGGAAAATATTAAGAGAAAAAAAATTGAATTGAATTTCATTAAATCTTTTAAAATCTTTGATTTAAGCGATAACTTTTTTTGTGCAGTGAATCCCAGATATATGAATACATGGCAAGAGTTTTTTATAATGTCGTATTACAGATTTAAGATTAAATGCCGCGGAAAAATGAGTTTAATATTATTAAATCAATTGCATTCACATTTAAGGGCTATTAATTTACCTTGAATTGAAAATAAAAAAGAAGTTTCTTTAGAATTATCAAAAAACTTACGACGGTCAATGTATTCATATATCTGGAATTCACTGTAACTCATATTAAATCTAGAAAATTTGTATCATTAAATCAAATCAAGAAAGGTATTGTTTAAATCAAAGATTACAACAGAACAAACAAAGTTTACTCCAGCCATATTTCTCTAAAGGAGTCCATATATGTTTCTAACCATGACAATCCTTAAATCTTTAGTAAAATTCTTCATTACACAAAAAAAAACAAGATTTAAAATAGCTTTGCTGTATGGTGGAGGCTCGTTTCCTTTATAGCAGAGGCACGGTCTGCATAGAGGAGCCTTGGTCTGCATAGTGAAGACTCAGCCTGCCTAGCAAATCTGGGAGGCTCGTGTCTGCATAGCGGAGTCTCATGGCGTCAGGGGAGTTCCCTCCCACGCCCAACTGATATATGAGAAACACGTAGAATAGAGTTCTCCATTTCTAGTTTTACATCCTAGTAACTAGTCATAAAAAAACATGATGTGCGTAGAAGATGCGCCTTCTCCGTAATAAGTAAATATTTTAGTTATATTATTTTTATTAAAGCTTTAAACTTATAAATCGCACATTTCATTTTTCACTGGAAGATCAAAAAATTTTCAACAAATCTTAACCTTCCCTAAGTAAAGTGATTTCCTTAAAAGAAAAATTGTTCACCAGATTTGCCGTTTAATGAATATAATCAAAAAAACAGATGAATCTAAAGTTTAGATTATAGAAGAGGAGGTTACCTAGTTTTCTAGCATGGTGATTCTGAACTACAGGAGGTAATTGAGCAGGATCACCAACCAGTATAAACTTCCTGAAAATTATTTTTTTTAATCCCAAATCTCTACTATAGTAGTACATGAACTTTAAATTTTTTAATCTATATTTTTAAACAATGCGTTACCTTTTTAAACCCTTTCTTATTTCTATGTTTCATTTTCAAACTTTGAGACGCAAGATTCACATTGCACATTGGTACCAAAATAGACGGCAACTTTATGTCATTTAACTATTAACTATTCTAAATTTGTGTTTTAGAAACACAATGCCCAAAAACTTACTTTGAAAAAAGTATTGGATGAATCACAGATGGGAGAAGGGCTTGGCTGGCTTCGTCGATGATACACCAGTCAAAAGTTCTAAAAAATTCATGGGTGGATTTTATTCAAGAATTCCTTATGACAATTTCCAATCTTGAGTAGCTGACGGGTCGAGTGACTTATAAAACTAGGCTTTTAGCGCCCATCTTCTATTTCAACTTTAAATTGTGGCTCTATCTGTGAGCATCTTCTTATGTAACCCCTAAAAGTTCGCAGATTTTCCAAATTTTATAAAAAAGTTTGAGACAAATTTTTTTAACTCTGAGCATCCATAAACCTTTCCTTGTATCAAGTGGACCCGATCGGCTATTCAGTCTGGGGATTTGACCTTTAAGCTATCTATTTTTTTTCACCGATAGCGATTGAAGACAAATACACAGGATGGCAGAAGTCCCATCCCCCCTCTATGTCCTACTCGAGATTAAAAACTGGAAAATGTGTAAAACGCCCCCCTCACCCCTCTCCCCCTCCATTAAGAAAAAAGTTATTGAAAGTGTGTTAGCTAGGAATGCAGGAGCTGACACAGTATTATGACTGAAGTAAAATTTAAAAACAAACAAGGGGGAGAGTAACCTTGACACTCAATATATAGATATAGACACAGGGCTCCGAAAAATAGTTCTGCCTCTGCAATTTGACTAGCTACAGAAAACATCCAAAAAATTCATTTATTTTTATTTTCAAAATTAGCCATAGTGTGATTGAAGGATGGACAAGGAATGGAAGATCAAGAAGAAAGGATTAAAAACAAGAAATATAGAAGTCTCAAAATGTTTCCATCTGATATCATATTAAAATTTAAAAATATTGTAAAATTTAATTAAAATAAATTATTAAAGTTAAAAAGACAAGCAAAGTATATAATATGTTGAAAGACTTATTAAAATGCTGTAAAAAAATTTAATCTATTTAATTTGACCTGTTAATAATAGCAGCATGGTTGGTTGCCAGGCAGGTGGTGGCAATAATGTTGTAGCTTTTATACAGCTGTGACAGCTCATCACAGCTCGTGATGTTACAGCACACACGATCTGCTGTAAACTCCTAATATTTATATAAGGAAAAGGAGGAATGGGGGGCACATTTTTCTCAAAGATAGCTCTATCTTTAAATTTGATGCATAATTTGGATAGTTGTTCTGATTTACGTGGTTTGAAAAGTGAACTGATGTGAATCAAATTACCTGTAATTCATCTCTAACTCGTGCACTTCTTCCAAGGCGCAGAAACTTAGTTTCAAACTTCTTTAGCTTGCATAGTACAGTATCAACAGCACTACAACGGATGACGTGAGAAAGGATCATTTCTTTAACAGACCTTTTTTGAAACTTTCCCGATATTTCCGTTGCTTAGTTTTAATGAATAAAGGGAAAATTACTGTAAAAATGATTTTGATTAAAATTCATTCGCAACGCTGAAAAAAATTAATCCGGCCGAATTTTTTCAAATTTATTCTTTTTGTTTTCGCTTATTTTTGAATGACTGATGAATCCTTTAGAGATTTGGAAGTTATTATTAATCTTGTAATGGTAAACAATTGAGATTTTTCTTTTAAAAGCAAAACTTTTTTTAACAGGTAAGTTTAGGATTTCCGGATCCAGGAAGCCCAAAATGTTGCGGATCCAACGAATCCGAATCTTAAGCACGGACTGTATTTTTACCTATTCGTGTATGCAACAAGGAGAATACTTTGACCCAGCTTCGCCAATAATCTAAAATAAAAATGTCCATCAATCGAAATGCGACAAAATACACAGTACACAATACAAAGTACCGAGTGCATAGTATACAGTATTCAGTACACAGTACACATTACACAATGAACATTATACAGTACAAATTACAAATTACACAGTACAAAGTACAAATTATTACACTGTACACATAACACAGTACAAAGTACACAGTACACATTGCAAATTAGACAGCACATTGTTCACAGTACACAGTTCACAGTACACAGTACATATTATTACACAGTACACATAACAAAGTACAAAAGTACACAGTACACATTTCGAATTAGAAAGTACACAGTTCACAGTACACAATTCACAGTACTCATTCGACAGTTCACAGTACACAGTTCACTACACAGTTCACAGTTCACAGTAAACAGTAAACAGTACACAGTACACAGTACACAGTATACAGTATACAGTACAAAGTACACAGTACATAGTACATAGTACATAGTACATAGTACATAGTACATAGTACATAGTACACAGTACGCAGTACACAGTACACAGTAAAGAGTACTTAGTACATAGTACACAGTACACAGTACACAGTACACAGTTCACAGTGCACAGTACACAGTATACAGTAAAGAGTACAAAGTACACAGTACACAGTACAGTACACAGTACAGTGCACAGTACACAGTACAGAGTTCACAGTACACAGTTCACAGTGCACAAATCACAGTACACAGTATACAGTAAAGAGTACTTGGTACATAGTACACAGTACAAAGTACAAAGTACACAATACACAGTAGAGTGCACAGTGCACAGTACACAGTACACAGTACACAGTACACAGTACACAGTACACAG